TTGGTTCGATTTTGCTATGTCTGATAGAACGGACAACTATTATGAAGATAAGAAATACTATGGTAGCCATTGTTGATTTCCTGTTATCCTGCTTCGAAGTTCCGTACCAATGTCACTGCTTTGTTTTGGTTGGCTTTATTCTGTTTTGTTTTTATTGGGTTTTATTGTCTTTAAATTTTTTTAAATGAATATAGTGTCTGCTCCTCAGGGGTGGTGGTACATGCCTGTAATACCAGAGTCAGGAGGCTGAGGTAGGAGGATCGCTATGAGTTTGAGGCCAGCCTGAGCTACGTAGTGAATTTAAGGCTACCCTGAACTGCATAGTGAGAGCTTATCTCACAGCAACAAGAACAGAAAAAGTTTTCTGAAAAATAAATATATACATTTACACACATACATTTGTATGTGTATGTATGCAATGATAAGGCAAATATAATAAGATAATAACTTGAATAATCTGGAATCTCTATAAGAATGTTTATGCTATTTTGGAAACATTCTTTAAGTTGGTTGTTATTTTGAAGTTTAAAAGTTAAATTTAAGAGTGTTAATCACAGTTATAACAGAAGTGGGTACCATTGCTGAGTAGCTACTATGGGCTCCTCATTTAATCGGACACTAACCACACAGAATAGGTATTATTACTCCCGTTTTATAAAAGAAGAACAAGTCTTTGAGTAGTTAGTGGCTCTCCCAAGATCACACAGCTTACAGAAGTAGTATTTGAACCCAGGCCAAGCTGGCTTAAGAAACTCTCTCTCAACCCTTTGGGAGATGGAGAAATAGTCAAGGAAACAGACAACAGTTGCACAGGGTGACAATTAGGGACACAGGTTCTGAAAGGAGCCATGACTACTAGGAAGGCTTTACAGAGGAGGTGACCTCTGAGCTGGGCCTTAAAGCCTGCGTAGGAGTTTCTCACTCAGGGAAAGAAGCTCTTCAGGTGAAAGAAGTATCATAGTCAAGGCCTCAGAAATTCGGAAGGATGCAGCTTAGAGTTTTTCTGGGCCTCACCAACCTACAGACAAGAACTGTAGCTCTGTGCAGTTGTCTGTGAATGCCCGTCACGTTTCTCTGGAAGTGCTAGCATTCCATACCTCCATCAATTTGCTCAACAGAAAATGCCCCCGCCCTCACTCTGCAAACCTCAGCCTCAGCATCCGCTTGCCGTTTCTTGGCAGTTACCCCGTGGCTGAGTTACTTATTTCTGAGTCTCCCCTTTTCCTGTCTGTGAAGAGGAGCCCATGTGATAGCTACTTTCAGGGTCAGGTGAAGGCTAAGGAGAAAAATGCTGGCCAAGAGCTTGGCTTGGTTTCTGGGATGGATTCAAAGACCATGGCTGTTCTCAGGCACTGGGGACCTGAAGCCTGAGAACAGCAGAGACTGGCCAAGTGCTCACCACCAAGGAAAGTGAGACAAGGCTTGGCCCCAGGTTCCGCTCCTCACTGACCTCCCCTTGATCCCCGCCTGCCAAACCGCCCACCCCCACCCTGTCCCCAGCCCTGGGCTCTGCCCCCAAGGACAGAGCTAAGCAGAGTGGCTCTCTCCGCCCAGGGGTTCATTTTGGGATGGACCCTCTGCTTTGGAGGCTCTGCTGAGCACACACCTACTTCCTAATGAGGCTGAGACCCTGGGACATTTGGCAGCTAACTGCCCATTTCTTTTTTTTTTTTTTTTTTTAATTTTATTTAAGGAGAAAAAGAAAAAAAAAGCAGAAAAAGGGTACAAGTTATACAGAATTTCAGAAAAAAAATAAAGAGTAGGAAATCACTAGTTAATGGATTAACTGCCCATTTCTTTCCGTTTGTGTTTCCCAGGGCCGGAGGAAGCCAAACTGCTCGGAGACAGTTACATGCTACAGTATCCTGAGAAAAACAAGTGGGAGCCGCCACACACACACACACACACACACACACACACACTCATGCACACACACGCATACACACACTCATGCACACACACACGCATACACACACCCATGCACACACACATGCACGTGCACATACACACAGTCTTCATGGAGAGCTGCTTCGCTGCCTCCAGCCCCCTCCCCAGCACCAGCTGCCATAGGGGGCTTCTACCTGCCATCCCAGCACACAGTTGGTGGCCCCAGGAGCTGGTTCAAGTCCCACACCATCCTGGAGGCCTCAGGCCTGGAGTGGCCAGGTCTGGTCTGCAGGTGCTCATGGCCTAAAGTACAGGCCCTGGGCTCGGAGCCTCTTACATCTTGTTGCTATGAAATATGTCCTTTACACCACTCCATACCTCAGAATGATCATGCTGCTGATAACACCCCCCCCCACTCCACCCACCACCCACCAGCCTTGGGAGGCTGGTGTCCTCCAGGATCAGGTGATCCAAAGGGGCCTTTTTAGAGACTGTAGTCTGGAGAAGAGAGTCTTTTTTAGCATAGCAAGGTAAGAGAGACTTCTCATGAGAGTTTATCAGTGAGAGTTTATCAGTGAGAGTTTATCATCAGAGTCCATGGTGTCTGGTCATCTTTTAGGACCTGCCCTGTGAGGCCAGATGGCTACAAAGGCCTCATCCCTTCTGCTCTTTGTCCTCAGAATCGCCATGAGCCCCTCCCACACTTGCAACCCCAATCCAAGACCAGAATGGCATTCGAAGCATGGTGTATGAGAGGCTGGTGCCTCTGGTGGTAGAGTTTACCAATAATCAAGAAATATGGAACAGTTAAGTTTATGGATCCACTACAAGAGAGCAGTGGACAAGTTCAAGAGAGGATGGTGTCATCATGGTGAAAAGCTGAGATATTTATACCTGATTTTAACATAGTAGGGGGTCTGGAAGTGTCATCCATGAACACTCTCTCCTGAGGTCACAGTGGTTCCATTGTCCTATCCATCTAAATTCTGAGGGTAGCCAGGTGGTGTTTGAAGACTTAGTAATGTTTGTTTTGTTCATGTCCAGTGCCTTCGGTGTCACTACAAACAGTCCTTCCAGACAGAATTAATTAACAAGTCTATAAAGCGGTCAAGGGGATCAGAATGAAATATAAATGTTTGAACTTGATAAGGACTTTTGATGTGCTACTGAGATAGGGAAAGAAATGGTATTTTTAAAGACATGACAAGCAGTTAGATTAGCTAGTGATGTATGCATAGTTCTCGGAAGTAGCTTAGAGGGTAGAAAGTTAATGATTTACCAAAGACTCATCCATCATTCAGCGGCAATGTGGCCTTCAAAGAAACAGAGGTAAAACTGCCATGATTCCCCACACAGACAGGAGGGTGACAACACACCCTGGAAGTCAAACACCCAGAGGAGCTGAAACCTGAGTAGGAACAGGAGGAAACTGAGGCAAAGAGGAGATAGGGAGTTCAACTCACCCCATTCACAGGGTAAGTTGTGGGTGTGTTGACTTACCCTGCAGTGAGAGGAATTTGAAAGATTTATTAAGCAGAAACATAGAAGTATGCACTCAGAGACAGAGAGACACATTACATTTTGGGGTTGGGAATTTTATATGATCTTGGGGGCATCTTTAAAATGGGTGGCACAGGATGGATCTGTGCTCCATTTGGTAGGTTAGGGTCAAATGCAAATCATTTCCATGTGCTTGAAGTTTCATAAGCTGCTGCCCATTCATATTGCTGCTTCCTTCAGGATGGAGGCCTTGGGAGGAAGAGCGATTTATAGGTAAAAAACCACAGCCCCAATTTACAGGTTTATTGTACCTTTTAGACACTTAGGACTTTTTTTTATGCGCAAAAGACATTGTGTAACTTTGGCATCCTCTCTTGAACTTGTCCTTTCCTGAAGCTGCAATTTTTTAAAAGTACAACTTAAGCAGGGCCAGGGGTTTAGCTCAGTGGCATAAGTGCCTGCTTGGCAAACACAAGGTTGTGAGTTCAATCCCCAGTACCCCCCCCAAAAAAGTACAATTAAACATCATACCACAGCAATAAATATGTACCTATGGACATATTTGTTTATAACAGCTACATCTTGGAAACAACTCAAATGTCCATCAATTGATGAACGAATAAAGAAAAATATGATTTTTTAATACCATGGAGTATTACCCAATCATGAAGAAATACTGGAGACATTTATAGTTAAAGGGCTGCACCTTGAGACCTGACTCTTAGGTGAAATAAATTGAACACACGTGTAAAAATCACATTGTTTCTCTGGCATGAGAAACTGAAAGTGTAAATAGGAACCAAAATGTATAATAGAAATGGTGACGGAGAAAGAAGTTGTTCAAAAGGAAAGGGGAACTAGGACTGAAAAACAATGAGAAAAAAGGATAAAACGGAAACAAAGCTTTGTAAATAAGGACAGAAAGAGGGGTTGAAGGGAGCAGAGGAGAATGAAAAAAAGAGAAATCAAGATATATCATGTAAGGCAGGTGCTTATGCCGCTGAGCTAAATCCCCAGTCCCCCCCCCCCTTTTTTTTTTGGTACTGGGGATCGAACTCATGACCTTGCACTTACCAGGCAGGCACTTTAGCCACTGAGCTAAATCAACGGCATAAGCACCTGCCTGGCAAGCACAAGGTCATGTGTTCAATCCCCAGTACTGAAAAAAAAAAAGATACATCATGTATGATTGACATCATGTATGATTACGAATTCTCTTTGATGAATGTGATCGCTAAGCACACCTGCTTATTGTGCCACTCATCACTTATCATACCAATGAACTTAATTTAAAAAATGCAATTTAAAAACTATTTTTGTCTCCTTTTGGAGGTAGGATAGGAGAAATAAAGATACCAAAAAGACAAGGAGAAGCATAACTAAACCTGTGCAACTTCCAAAACCCTGTCAAAATTAGCTGAGGCAATCCATAGCCGCGTTCCCTTGGTTAAAAGCTCCAGGTTCCTCAGGGATACTGAAAGCCCACAAGTTGGCTTAAATTTTAAAAAGTAAAGAGTAGAAACCTGATCCTAAGATAGAGGAACAGGTTGAGAGAATTCAAAGAATGCTTAAATTATCCATTTTAGGGAAGGGAAAAAAAAACTAGCTCATACCATTAGTGGGATTCTGAGGTGCTGGAGGCTGGAAAGATTCTTTCCACGTTCTTGTTGCTCTGAACACAGAATTGGTCAAGACGTGTGCAAAAAGTATCAGGGTTTCACGTGTACTGAATGTGGAAGCAGCACGCGCCGCAGAGTGAAAGCTGGCCACTGAGAGGAGTCACAGTGGCCACGAGGCCAACGGCTGCCTCCTTTTGCATCTGCAGTTCCGATGTCAGATCTAGGCTGCCTTGGCAAAAACCTACTTGCTTTCATACCAGAAGAACTGAAGGCAGCATCCTCTGACTGGTCCCAGGTCCAGGATCTGTGTGATTGACAAGTATGCCCATTTGCTCCATCAGCTGGCCATGAAATAATCTCCTTCCTCGATACCTATAAAGTGGGCCGTTCTGGGGAGTGGCCTACCTTTCCTGGGGTTCCCACTCCCTCAAGAGAGGTATAAATGTTCCCCGTTCCAGGAAATAAGCACCTCTCTCTTACACTCTATTTCTTGCATTTGGCTTTTTTTTTACATTTCTGTCTAATAAGTCCCTTTGTGCCTCTTACCGACATCCTGAAAATTATTTTGCTGATTCAATAATATAGGCAGCATAATGGGGGCAGGTGTAGGATCACCACCCTCCATTCCTAGGCAATTCAAACCTAGGCAATCCCTCGAGGGCCAACTCTCAACCTTGCCCTGGAAAGGAAACAAAGACCCAGAACCCTCCAAGGAAAATCCTGAAATTTCTAAACCAAGACACAGGCACACTAGACCTCCCTGCTTGCCCTAGAATAGCCTTTCTTCCTCTGGAGCTCACCAAAAGTTCATTCACGTAGACTGTATCTTATACTTAAATTTGTAACAGAGTGAATTATGGAAAGGACACGTACAACAGCACCCTGTCCATCAATCATGCTGTCAGGATCGCTTCGGCAGACCCCAGACAGGAGGGGTTTTATTTTCTCATTGCTGAGACAAAATATTCACCACCCAAAGTTAAAGGAAGAAAGGCTTATTCAGTTCACAGTTTGCATTTTATAGCTGGCTGAGTCCAAAGCAGGGTGGCATGGCAGATCAACATCACAGAGGAGAAACAGTTCATGGTGAACAGAAGGCAGAAGGCAGGAAGCTACAAGTGACTGGTGATCATGTCAGCCCTCTCAGTCTCTACCTCAGGGTGGTGTGGTGGATTGACAACCGGTGGGCAGCTTGTAACACCCAGCTGAACTGAATCAGCACGGTTCTGGGTGTGGATGGCCCACTGAGGATTGCCGCCAACATAAAAAATAGAACCGGAGAGGAAAATATGGTTTCTCCCGTTGCCACTGGCTTTCCTGGAGGAGTTTGTCAAGCTTCTTTCCTGACATGAACTCAGCAGTTCTCATCATCGGAGGAGCTCAGGGCCTCACTGTCACTGAGGATGGCTGTGATACTTTTTGGAGAGCCCTGGTCCTTACTTTGAACATCACTTCCTGGCTCCAGTGCAGATCCCTCAGCCTGCTGGCAGACTTTCTAGCTTCCACTGCTGACCTTTGGGCCTTCCCAGAGCAGATCCATGAAACAGACTTGCCTGAGGCCTTGTCATGGGCTCTAGATCTTCTGCTGGACTCATGCAGGACATTGCCATGAGATCCAAGCCCTCAGGCAGATTCTTTGGCTCTTTAATGTGTGGACAACTTTCCTACACTTTTTTGTGTTTGCCTTTTTGGGTGACTTTATAAAATAATTTTATGTATTATGTGTCTTCTATTGTTTTCCTTGCAAACCTTGACTACAACAGGTGGGTAGCACTCAGACCCAGTTCTTATACCAGAACTATGCCAAACCAATTTAGTAATCACTACTCTTAATCCCATTATCACATACTCTAGATCAAGCTGCCTCTGAAAAGGCCCCACCCATTACTACATGAGGCTTGGGGGAACATTAAGATATAAACCATCCCAGGAGGCGCCTAACATTTATGCCCCTATATTTCACACCCTTGGCATTCAGTGATATTTTTCTTTCACAGGTGCAAGCCTGGTCACTCCAAGTATACTTCCGCCTTAGCAAACTTTGCTGCTATTTACTTGCTGCCATATGCCACATCCTGTTCTTTGTTTGTCACTTACAAAAACCTGGGATTGTGCGTGGTACATAAGAACCTGGGAACCTGTCCCCGGAGCCCACAGCACAAGGCAGCAACAGGAGTCAGCAAACCCGCCACTTACTCTCCAGGTAGGGTGGATCTGGGCTCCTTATCTAAGAGGGAACCCTATCTGGGAACTTTTTCCCTGTCTTCATTTCTTCTGTCCATGTTCAGACTGAGCTAGGCATGAGCTCTCAGGGGTTAGCTGGGGTAGGGGTGGCATGGGGTAGGGCAGCTTGTTCAGAAACTTGCTGGCAGGTTTTCAGATTGTAATTTTATAGCCAGATAAATCAGGGCCATATGATTTCATTTTAATGTTCCTTAACTGACACCCTCACAGATGTCCTATCAGCTTGGCCTGGGACCTCAGGCATTTCAGGCCCCTAAAAGCTGAAGGTGTTCAAAAGTGTGCACAATGATTACCAGCCACTCTGGCTCATGTGCTCACGGCTGACCCAATCAAAGATGGCTATTCTGGTAAAAAGGGAAAAAGAGTTATTTACAGCTAGCTCCAAGAGACAGAGGTGTCTATTTGCCTCAAATCACCCTCACCGTGTTCAGGTAGGGAAGGGTCTTTTAGAGTAAGGAACGGAGGGCAGCGGGAGCACAAAGATGATGTAGCTCTGCACGCTTGCTGTGTTGCTCCAGCCATCCTCAGCTCGGCCTCCCATCTTGAGGAAAGGAAACCCAGCTCCGGCCTCCTGGGGCACCTTCTGTCATTTCTCTTGGAGATGAGTGTTGATTCTGTGTGCAGCATGAGCAACTCTGGAGAAATTGCTCATCTCTAAAAGAAAAATTAACCCTAACTTTTAAAGTTCCATTTTGCAGTAGTGGTTGCAAGATTAGATTTCAGACTTAATGAGCCGTGGACCTTGGTGTGATGGTTGCTACTTAGAGCTAGCTTTTCTGCCCAGACACACCTTCTGACTCCAAGACCCAAGTTGCTTGAAGAAAGGTAAAGCTGTTGAGAGCACATGGAGTGATAAGCCCTCGTGGCAAGCACCCCAGATCAGGACAAGTCTTCTCTCCCTGAGAGGCAGTGACTGTGACAGGGCTTAAATCTCTCTGGGACTCAGTTTCCTCATCTCCAAAATGGGGTGTAATCATCCTTCAGTTGTGGGTTGTTTATATCGTGGAGATAATGCAGATAAAGCGTCTGGTCCACACTGGGTACAGGGCAGTTTTCAAGTGTAGCAAGCCGCAAGGCTTCCCGTTTTGCTGCAGACAGGAGCAGGAAGGAGACCCTTTTAGAACCATGTGAAGAGAAAAAGGAAAAACAGCTTAAAAGGTCTCATGTTCCCAAGTTCGGCAGGCTTCATTAGGCTTTCATAAAATCAGAGTCAGGGAGACAGAGTACCAGGGGGCAGACGGGGACTCAGCAGGACAGAAGCTGGCTGCTCCCTCCTGGCAGGGCCGCCTTCTCATCACCATGGAGACCGAGAGGCTGCCCCACCCACCCAGAGGCTGAGGCTGCAGAAGTTGGGGTGGCAAGGAAGAGCAGACCCAGACCACCTGGTCTGCAAAGCTGAGGTGGGGGTCAGGTGCGTCAGCCTCTGTCCCTCCAACCCCCAAAGTTGGGGCTGGATAGGACCCTGGCTCTGTTAACCTGCTGAGTGCCGGGGGAAGAACCCTGCCCTCTTCCAGCCTCAGGTTCTGCTCGTGTCAAAGGAAGAGGAGGAGATGCAGGGAAACCAGGCTTGGTTAAGAAAACTGTAAGATAAAACATTTAACACTGGGGAGAAGATTCATCACATGTTGTTTATTGATAAAAGGGAACTTTGCAGAACTGACCAGTATGACCACATTTTTGTTTGTCAGGAAAGCAAACAGGACCATCTATGTATGCTTGCTAAAAAAAAATTAATAATAATAATAAATTTATTAATAAAAGGGAAGAGGAGAGAAGCAACATTGCAAAATATGCTTCTGCTTGTTTCTTGAGGAAGGCATTCCATGTACAGTGGATGATCTTTCAGTTACAGCCAGCCTGACTTATAAACAATTTGGGTTATGACCGTAATTTTAAAGTCTTGAGTTATGATCTGCCATTTGTGCTTCCAAATTTAACGCTTCGAGAGTTCTGGAAGGGAACATTACAACATCCTTTCTTGTACTGGGTTAATTGAGAAATCCTGGGCCAATGTCTCTCTAAGAACACCGAGATCTTCCTGTGTACAGGAGAGGCTCGGGGCTGTGCAGAGGAGCCTGAGCCCCCAGCTGACAGCCTGAGTTATAACCAGGCCTTGGGCACGAATTGAGTTTGTAAGTCAAGGGTCCCCCAGTGTATTACTTTTTATTCTCCAGACCTTTCTTAAAATTTGGTCAAGGCACATGAGTGACTTTTGAGGTCAGTAACTAACAGTTGCATATAGAAGGACATTGTGCTGAACGTTTTACCTGATTTAAACCTTGTTCAGTCTTCGTGGTAACGCAGTGAGGACAACCAAGGATAGAAAGATTAATAAACTGTACTGTACCTCAAGAAGTCAGTTGGGCCAGACATGGTGGTACATATCTATAATCCCATCAGCTGAGAGGCTGAGGCAGGAGAATTGCCACAAGTTGGAGATTACCCGAAGCTGCATAGCAAATTCATGGTCAGTCAGAACTACATAGTGAGACTCTGTCTCAAAAAAAAGTAATAATAATAATAAAATAATAATCATCATAATAAAAGAAGTCAGCTGCTGAAATCCCAGCACTCTGGGAGGCCACCAGGGCAGGAGAATCACAGCCTAAACAACTTAGTCCCTATCTCAAAATACAATTTTTTTTTTTAAGAGCTAGGATTGTAGCTCAATGTGAAATCCTAGATTTAGTCCTCAGTGTTGGAGGGGGAAAAGTCCTTAAATGGAAGGATTGGGGATGGGGTCCTTAAGAAAACAGGCCCAGAGATTCCAACCTACGCATGTGTGTGTGCGGGCACACACACACACACAGAGCAGAGCACAGGTGTGCATGCATGCACGGCTCCCAGGCACACCTTGAGGCTGCCTACAGAACTGTAGCACGTGCTCCCTGGGGAACTGCAGTGGCTTCTCCACTCTGTCCCCACACCAGGTTCCTTCCTGCTTTCCACACTTTCTGACTTGCATTGCCCCAGCTGGCGCCTTTATAGGTCTCTGGCTCTTCTCCAAAGCCTGCAGGTTGTGGCAGCTTGGACAACACAGGAGGACATGGCCAGAGACCACGGCGGCACACCGAAATGGGCAACCCTGGTGGTGCTGGCCACTGTGGGCACAGCCCTGGCAGTGGCCGTCAACCCGGGCTTCGTGATGAGAATCTCCCAGGCGGGTCTGGACTACGGTAATTGGTGCCTTTCTTCTCTCTTGTCCCTGAAGAGCATGTTTTGAACACTTCCTGCGTGTAGCATTTCAATTCAGTGCCTAGCACGCTCACAGCTCTGCAAGCAGGCTCCCTCCCCTGTTTTACATACAAGGAACCTGAGACAAGGTGAGTTGCCTAAGATCACAGGACTGGGAAGGGGCAGACCTGGGACTGGAGCACTGTCTAGAGGACTCCAAGCCCAGGGTCCAGGCCTGTAGCGGTCCTCATGCTGCCCTGCCCTCAAACTCGAGCTCTAGGCCCATCTCTTTCCAAAACCTGTTCTCAGCCTTGGCATTTGCCTCTGGAGGCAAAGGAGGCAGGACAGGGGAGGGGAGTGCAAGGAGGCCTTCCTTAGTGCAGGGGCTGGCCGGAACACTGTCCACAGCACCTCTTGGGTGATCCAGAGAAGCCCACCCCCTGGGCTGCTTCTCCAGACAAAGGACAGAAAAGCACAAAGGGCCCCGTCTAGCAGCTTTACCCACGCAGTCTCCTTTCGCCTCACAGCAGTGCTGGGTGGCACACATTGTCACCATCTGCAGTCACAGGTGAGTGAATCCTGCCCCATGACCCAGGTTCAGAGAGGTTGGTGAGAGAGGGCGGCCTGAGCTGGGACTCAGGTTGTCTGCCGTCCCAGCATGGCTCGGTGGCTGGCACCTCTCGGTGGAAGAAAGATGGACTGCAGCACTGTGGGAGAACCAGAAGCCAGGAAATCAGAGCAGTGGGGACCTGCAGGACAGGACTCAGCGCAACTGGGCGCCCAACTCCTGAATTCTCACCCAGGCAGGACAGCTGTGGGCCCCAGGGGTGTGGACAGAGGACCCACCTGACTGAGAAGAAAGGAATATGTTCCAGCTCCAAGCTGGGGTGTCCCTTTAGGCTTTCTAGGAACAGATGCTCAACAGAGGGCTTTAACCCTGGAAGTCACGGTGCTCAGTCATAGCTGCCTCAGTTTCCCCTCCTACTCATGCCCCACATGGCAACCAGAGTGAGTTTTTCTGAAATACAGCAAATGTGTTCAGGCATTGCCTTCAGAAGCTACCCCATGCCTCTGGCACTGCTTGGATCCTGGCCGTCCCATCTTTTCTTTCCTCTCTAGATGGTGACCACATATGCAGTGTTGCTCAGGACATGGGCTCTGGCACCAGAACACCAGAGTTCCAATCCTGCTCCACCAGTTGCCAGTTGTGTGGTCTTGAACAAAGCATGCTGCCTTTCTGAGCCTCAGCTTCCCCATCTGTGAGATGGGGAGTAACAGGGCCTCCTTCCTAGAATCCTTTAGAGTCGGTAAACTTGACAGATGTGTGCAGCCTAGAACAGTGCCTGGCACAGAGTAAGAGCTTGATAAGTCTGTTATCATCATGATTGTTGTTGTTTCCAAACAGGCTCTGAGAAAAGCCAAAGCCGGGCTACTCAGCTCCTGCTTTTTACTGCTTATCCTTCTCAGATAATGTGTTTGCCTGTTAATTGGTTCTTAGATGCTGTTAGCTACATAATAACTGATGATAGAATTGTTGCCTTTGGGGCATTCATTTATTTACCCAACAAATATTAAGTGTGAGGCACAGTGGAAAATGTAGGAGACACATTAATAAATAAAACTGACATTGCCGATAACCTCAGGGGGCTTATATCTAGCAAGGGAGAGAGACATTAATCAGAGTCATATGAATAAATGCATAATTACAAATAGTAAGGGAGACTCCAAAGGAGATGTCTGTCCACAGCATTGTGCAAATGATAACAAGAGCATTTCTCTGTCTTCTGGATCAGGGAAGGTTCCCAAAGGAAGTGACTAGACATTGACCAGGTGATTATGGAAGAAAGCAGGAAATAGCACGTACAAAGGTCCTGTGGAGAGTCAAAAAGTCAGGTGTGAGGCATGGCACAGAGCAAGACAAGGAGTAGATGTGCAATGGATACTCATAGGATGCATGATTGGGTTTTTGGAAAGATGATATTATAGGCTAGGTGTCAACAAACTAGAAACCTCAGGTCAGATGTGGCCTGCTGTACATTTCAGTATGACCTGTGAACTAAGAATGGTTCTTATATTGTTTGATGGACTAAAAAAATCACAACACATGAAAATTGTATGCAGTGCAAATCCAGTGTCTGTAAATAAGGCCTTGCAACATGACCACATTTATTCACTTACGTTTTGTAAGTGGCTACTTGTGCTCAGTGACATCAGAGTAGATTGGCTGTGACAGACAGCGTGAAACATAACACTGGAAATATTCGTTACGTGGCCCTCAATGGACAACTTTTGCGGACCCTGATGTGGGCCCTTCTGATCCCACTGTCTCTACTAAGGACAGAGACTTGCAGGCTGCACCTCTGACTGTCTCCCACCCTGTTCTGCCTTTAGCCTGCCAGCAAGCAGTGGCTGTGCTGCAGAAGAAGCTGGAGAACATCCACCTGCCTGACTTCTCGGGGAATTTCAAGTTTTTGGGGAAGGGATCTTATGACTTGTACAGGTGAGACCTGGAGGAAACCACAAATCTGCCTTTCCTACACGTGCTGTGACTCCCTGGGGAGCCAGCACAAACTAAAACTCTGTACAAGCTCCATTTATCAGTTAGGATTTTGGGGGGTAAATTCAAGAACAGAAAACCCAATTTCAAAGAGCCAAAGCCAGAAATCATGGGCTCACTTGCCTGAAAAGTCCCTGACATAGTCTGGCTTCAGTTTCAGCTTGAGCCAGGCTCAAATGCCATTGAATCTGTCTTGCCACTTCTCCACACTGCTTCCTTGGAGAAGCTTAATTCTTCCCAGAAGGGGAGCACTTTCTCCTGGCAACTCAAATAGCAGCGCTTAGGTTCAATCTGATTGGTCCATTGTAGGTTATGTACATGCCCCTGAACCAATCACTGAGGCCAAGGGAATACAGTACACTAATTGGTTAAACTTCAGTCACGAGTTCTGCTCCCAGAAGATAGAGGTACAGGGAAGTCAACTTGCTTGGGAGTGGCTTTGGATAGACAGGGGTATTGAGTTCCCTAAAATAGACTGGCCATAGAAAGGTAGGTGCTGTGGGCGCTGGGCAGAAAGCCCACTAAGGTCCCCTGCAGAATTCTATGCCCTGTTCATTTAACAGATTATTTTGAACCTACTCTGTGTCTGACACAGTGGTCTCTGGGCTACAATAATGAAACCAAACAGACACATTCTGGCCCTTTACGGAGCCTGTAGTCAGGAGTTTGGCATTTGTTATCTCTACCCACAGACACATAGCCTGCAAGAGAGAGATGACTGTGCCCACTTTGTGAGAAACTGAGGCCCAGGGTAGTAAAATCATTGATCCCGGAAGGCACGGCAGAAGTGGGGGATGCAAATGCAGATGCGACTGTCTTCAGAAACCAAACCACACCAACACCCACTGAGCTTGCCAAGGCTGTTCTCAGAGTATCTGTCTCCTCACGGAGTGGATGTGGTGAAGGGTTTAACCATGTCCTGGTGCTGATCAAACCTTTCTCTTTTGCAGCATAAAGATCCTGAGTTTCCATCTTCCCAGACCCCAGCTAAGACTGCAGCCCAATGTGGGCCTTCGACTCTCCATCAACAACGCCAATGTCGTTATGAATGGGAAATGGAAAGCCAAGAAGCGTTTCTTGTATGTCTGCATGCCTGGGATTTGTGGGGTGAACTCTTGGTGCTTTTTGGAAAGGGTTAGAGCCAGGGTGAGCGGAATGCTCAACTTAGCCTTGTCCATCACTCTCGTCATCAGAGGTTTTCTGGAGGAATTTCTCACTTAAGATTCAGCATAAACCTTGATCCACCCTCCAATATAAGACACAAACTGAGCTGGTGCATGTGGCTTGGAAGGGATAGTCCAGCCTGAGCAGGACCTTTCATTTATTCTGTGTGTTAGCTAGCTATTGCTGTGTAACAAAACACCCCAAGCTCAGTGGTTTCACAATAATCATGTTATCATCTTATGTTCTTTGTGTCAGCTAGGGTCCTGCAGATCTAGAGTGGGATTAACTGAAGAGGCTCCACTTCTCATCTATGAACCCTTGACCTGGGCACCTTTGTAGCTATCATTTCATTTACAGTCAGACAATGATAATACTTCATCACACTGCAGAGGAGCTGACAAAGCACCCTCATGCCCACAGTCTTATCCAAACTCCCTCCCTCCCTGAGAAAGGAGCTATTGACCTCACTCATTCCCTGATGGCACAGGAAGGGTTAAAGTCATTGGCCTTAAACACTCAAACTTTTAGTGGCAAACGAGACCTTCATTCTGGTGTCTGTTTGCTGGCTTAGGGTCTGAGGAAATGGAAGCTCAGAGAAGTTAAGAAAACATGCCCAGCACCATGCAGCAGACCGTGAGGTGGGCGCTGAGAGCAGGGTCTGCCGGGCAGGTGTGATTTCCAATTTCACGAGTGTTCCCTGCTCTGTGGCCATGGGCTAGCCGAGCACCCTGTCCGCCATGCCTCCTCCCTGCAGTGGGGATGATATGGAGATGCACTTTCTGGCGCTGGTGTGAAGTGTGACAGCATGGGGACGGGGTGCTCCCTCTGCCTCACTTCTGTTTGTCTCCCTTCAGCAAAGCCAGTGGCAACTTTAAGTTGAATGTAGAAGGCGTCTCCATTTTGGCTGATCTGAAGCTGGGCAGCAACCCTGCCTCTGGCCAAGTCACCATTGCCAGCTCCAGCTGCAGCAGCTCCATCAACAAGGTCCACCTGAGCATCTCGAAGAGCTGGCTGGGGTAGGTTCTCCTGGGTTGTGGCTGCGGAGAGGGACCTAGAGGAGCACTGTCCACCAGGACAGGCCGGGGCCACAGGTGAAGGAGGTCAGTGCTGGCCCCTCCTGATCCCCTCAGGCAACCTTGAGGGCTCACTGCAGCTCCGCTCCTGCAAAGCACTCTGTCTGCAATAAATGGCCCCATCCGCACCCATTCATTCCCTAAACAACTGCCAGGGAGCACCCGTGCCAGGCCTGCAGTGCCCACTCAGGAGCAGCAGTCACCAATACAAACTTGGTCCTAAGTGGCCTGTGTGCCAAGCACTTTTAGCAGGTTGTCACTGCATGCAGTCCACCAGGACATGGTGAATTTGGCCTACTATTACACTTTCAGAGAGAAACGAAGGCCGGATGAGGAGAGCAATAACCTATCTCAGAGTATCTGAGTCCAGGACTCTACCTCGGCTGTCAGCTACACACCCCTGCAGGGAAGACAAACAGTCCCCCCAATGTCAAATTGTGAATGGCTCATCTGTAATTATAAAAGGAGATAAGGACTAAGAAGTAGAAGTACAAAGTGCTGTGTACACATAGAGTAGGAGAGTGAGGCCCAATTCTTCCCCCTTGAATGATATTTGAATTGAAATGAAAAGAATAAGTAGGAGTTAATTAGGTGGCTGTTGGGGACAGGGATAATTTAAGCAGAAGGCACAGCCTGTGCAAAGGCACTGTGGTGGAAGGAAGCATAGATCATGGAGGATAAGGCAGGTCGTGGGAATGTGTGGAGACAGGTGTGGATGCTGGTGAAGAGGAAGACTGGGCCTGGCCAAGACCTGACCATGCAGCAAAATAGCTTCACTGACAAATGGGGAAATGGGTATGGGTTGTGTATGGTCAGAGCCCAGGGGCAAGGGCACCAAGGTCTCTGGGGAGGAGGGTGGGTGGCTTCCCAGAGGAGGCAGAATCTTGAATGCAGTGTGGGTATTCCTGGAAGCTTCACACATGTCCCTGCGTGTCAACCTCCAGGTGGCTGATCCGTCTCTTCCGCAAGAAAATTAATTCTTCACTCCAAAAGACCTTCAACAACAGGGTAAGAAGGACTGGGTCTTCCCAGCAGCCACAGTGAGACAGTCCTGGGAGCCGTGTCCCTCCAGCCTTAGCGACACCTCTGCTCTTGACCTGACCCCCTCGGCAGTCCTCACGTCCCTGTGGAACCACAAATCTGGCTCCTCAAGCTGGGTGTGTGTGCATTTTACTGAGGACTCCCCGAGAGACTAGAGCAGCTGTTCCCAACCCACAGCCATCACAGCTGCTCGGGGCTGACTGAGCCACTCCCGTCCCCTCACAGAGGACGCTGCTTCCACCCTGCCCTGGTGCTGCCACCCAGAGCACCAGCCATCCATGCACAGAGCTCCAAGCTGGGCTTTGGCCAGAGCCCCACTGTGGTCTTTGCCTTGAGGCAGGAACTGAGACAAGGGACTGGCACAGGCTGGCAATCTCCAACTTCCCCATACACGCAGATCTCAAGCCAGCCTCCTCTGCCAAGAGAAGGCCATGCATTGGCCTAGTGTTCCATTAACAAGGAACCATCTGAGCCTGATTTGCAGGGCAGATGAGGTTGGGCTTTCTCCAGAGAGCAGTGGGGAACTGCTGAGGGTTTCAGGCACATGGGGGACCTGGCTAGATTTGTGCATTAGAAGAATTTCCCTGGCTGCTTGGTGAATGACTGGAGAGGCCAGGAGTGGGGCAAGGAGGCCACCGAGGAGGTATGTGCAGTATGCAGGGTGGGAGATGCAGGGTGATCAGAGGCACTGAAATGCAGGTAGGAAGATATCTACCCAGTGAAATCATCTATCTGAAAATCAAAGGTTTTCAGTAAGTGCAACAATGCTTGGGTGTCAAGAGACTTAAGTCTGGATTAGAGAATGCGCTTCAGGGTCAGAATTCCTTGGACAGCCAGGTGTGCAAACTTGAGCAAATGACTCGATCTTTTGACTCTCAGTTTTGCCATCTGTAAAATGGGGATATGAGCATGCTGTAAGGATAAGAAGACAGGGCAGACCATGTGCTCACCTCGTAGCCTGCCTCACCACAGCTCAACCTTCTATGAAGTTAAGTAATCACCTGAGAGAAGCAGCAAAAGCTACTGAACACCCTGAACAATTAGGTTGTTTCTTGGTGCTACTAATAGTGGCTCTCCATAGCAACCAAAAAAGTGCTGCTGCTGTTGCTGGTGACAGTGGCATCAGTGAGGGTGACAAGAGTGATGGGGATGCCCTGCACATGTTGTGCACTACCCATGCACTTGGCCCTGTGTTCGGAACTCTGTGTGGATTCTTGCCTAGAAGCTATATGTTCTATATTGAGTCCCCCATAATGGAGATGTCATGATTACCCCCATTTCACAGATGAGCAAACTGAGCTATAGAAAGGAAAAGTGACAGAGATCAGAGCCAGGCCACGGGTTGCAGAGGCAGAGAGCTGCCTCAGCACAGGGTCAGGGTTGTAGGAAACCCTGGCCGAGGTGGACGCATGAACAAGGCCATGATGCCAGCAGACCTGGGGATGGGAGAGGCAAGCTGGGTGTCCCTTGTGGAACTCTGGGAGTGCTGGGGACTGAGGGGGCAGCCTGGGCCTCTGAAAGGCCTGCGTGTTGGGGGCAACAAGGAGCCCGCTTAGCAGGCAGCCAGGTGAGGTGATGCATTGTGGTTTGGAGCCATCTGTTGGCCGTGATAGATAAGCAGCATCAGGTCACAGTGCCGAGGCCGCCCAAGTACTCAAGGTCATCCCAAGCCACTTAGAGAAGAGGCACAGGCTCCTCAGAGGACACTCTGGATCCTCTTGGAGCTTCCAGAGCCTCAAGTGACAGAAATGCATTCCGGGAGTATCCAATCTTTTTTTTAAATTTTTTTTTTTTTTGGTCTTTTTCCTTTTTGTCGGTACCGGGGATCGAACTCACGACTGCCTGCTTGCAAGGCAGGCACTTACGCTGCTGAGCTAAATCCCCAGCCCTAGGAGTACCCAATCTTGTCCCCAACAGCTCCCCCTCTCCTCCCTTCCTCCCTCTGATCATCCCCTCCTCCAGCTTTGCCTGGGCTGGAGTCAGCTGGGCTGCAGACCCAGGTCTGAGGTGAACCACAGACGGGGAGACGGGGGTGACCTCACACGAGTCCCCTCAACAGGGGCTGAGACAAGGATTTGGGTGCCAGCAGTCTATAGGGCGCAGGAGAAACGCAGCACTGAGTGGGCTGACACTGTGGTGCCCCGAGGCCCAGTCCTGTGGGGATCCCCAGCCTGAGTTTCATGAGAAGCTAGAGGAGAGAGCAGACCGAGCAGGTGAAATGTCCTCAGGCCCAGAGTCGGGAAGAGGAGGAGTGACAAGGTCTTGCTCAGAGGACTGCAGCAGCAGGGTGTCCAGAAGGGAGGGCCACCATGCCAGGGCTCCCAGCAGTCACTAGATGCCAGGATGGAAGACACCCAGCAGACAGACAGGGGAAGGCGTCAGAGCCCGACTCCCATGCGTCAGGACGGCTGCAGCCTGAGCCCTGGGGTCCAGCTGTGCAGCTGTGCAGCTGCTTCCAAAACAACAGCCCCACACACGGAATCTCTGGCTCAGGAGATGAACCTGCCGCTGCAGGGCGAGCCCAGCCTCTCTACTCCACAGCATCTGGACCTCATCTACAAAGACTCCGGAGCTCAGTCCAAGGCCTTAGGAGGCTTCCTACCTTGCATCTTTGAAGCTGAGGCTGAGAAACCCTCAAGTCTCAACCCAGCTGGGACTACTGACATAAGCAGCCGCCCGTGGCCCTCCACAGGAGCTGGCCAGCTCATGGCACATGACTGGCTGCCCAGAAGGAGTGACCAGAGAGGGAGCATTTCCTGAGTGAAAGTGAAGCTGCACAGCCTTTTATAACCTGACCTCTGCAAGGTCAAGTGTCACTTGCACTGTCTTCTATTAATCAGAAGCAAGTGGCCACGTCCAAATCCCAGGGAAGCTCCATCTCCTGGTGGATATGTGGTGAGGCACCTGACAGCAGCATGAGGGAAATGGGAAGCCAGCGGTATCCCCTATATCCACAGCGGTGTGCTCGCAGACCCCAAAAGATACTCAAAATTGAGAGTAGTACTGAACCTTCTCTATACAGAACCATGCTTTTTCCTGTTCAGACATTCCCATTACAGGATTTAATTTATGAATTAGGCACAGTAAATGATTAACAATCTTTGTTCTAATCACAAAACAGAAAAATCAGCAATATACAATATATTGCTGATTGCTACCAGCATCACTGTCTTTGTGATCTGGGGTCAATAAGACAAATACAGATTATTTGAGCACAAACATTGTGATACAGCACTGGTGGATCTGAATCCCAAGATGGCTCAGAGACTAACAGGCCCGCCATGTATACAGGGTGGATCCGCAGGACGAAGGGCTAACTTGTGTCTCAGGTGGATGATGGGAGATTCCATCGCACTTCTCAGGATAGCCACAATTTAAAACTTACAAATCGTTTATTTCTGGAATTTTCCACGTAATATTTTTGGACTGTGATCGGTCATGGGAACTGAAAAGTAAAACTTCAAGTAAAGAGGGGCCCCTTATGTTCCATTTTACAGTGAGGTCCCCAGACATGGAGTGACTTTCTCAGTGGCAAAGTCAGATGTGACCAGCGTCTGTTCCTTTGTGAGGCACAGATGGGCAGGGTGCCAGGGTTCTGTGGCTGTACACAGCAGCAGTGAGGGTGCCCACCCTGGCATGATGGCTGATCACTAATTACCTCATGTTTATTTACTGCTCTATTCCATGAAGGATTTAAACCTTCACAGTGTAGCAAAAACCTCACAGTGTAGCACAGAAAATATAAATATCCATCAGAGAAGTTCCATACTAGAGAAAGAAATAGAATGCAGATATGTGGGTTATACAATCCTATTCAGTTACTGTTTCCAAGAGCATATTGGACTCTGAGCTTGCTGTGGCCAAAGAAAGAAGAAGTTTGATTAGCTAAATGATTTTCAAGAAACATTCACAGAAAGGAGAGCTTGTGCTATACTTGAATGTGTCTGCCCTGAAATTCATGTGTTGGAAACTTAACCCCTAAATTATTATATCAGTGATATTTAGATGTGGGGCTTTGGGGTAGTAATTAGGGTTAAATGAGATCATGAGGATGAGGCCCCCGTGATGGTGATAGCAGCTTTCTAAGGAGAAGCAGAGAGATCCTAGTTAGAATGCTAGCTTTCCTCCCAAGTGAGGTCCCCCCGCCACGTTACGGTGCAGCAAGAAGGCCTCTCTAGATGCGAGGCTGATGTTAGTACCACGCCTTGGACTTCCTAGCCTCCAGAACTGTGCCCATCTGAACCTCTGTTCTTTATAAATCATCTGGTCTCAGGTACTGTGCTATAGAAACAGAAAACAGACCAAGACAGAGCGCCTGGCTTCTGCCCAAAGGACATATCCCACTACAGGAAGCCCTGGCTGATCACCTCTTTGGTTCTCCCTAGATCTGCAAGATACTGACCAATTCTGTGGATACTGACTTACGGCGTTACACCCAGACTCTTCCAGGTCAGGTTGGGTAGAGATGGAAGAGAGAAGGGGAGCAGGGAGTGTGCCAGGCCTAGGCCTGGGCAGGAAAGGCAGAGCAAGCTATTGGCCACTGGCATTGGGCGAGGCCCTTGTGGTGGATCCAGAAATGTGATGGAAAAGCAGCCACGGCCATGTATTCCTGTGAGAGGCCAAACAGCCCAGTACCTCCTGGCTCCTGAGTCTGGTTGTGCAGGGTAAGGGGCGAGCACCTGCTCACGGAGTCCTTCATCAGCTGGGAAGTTCTGGGCACCCCTCTCCCTACATCTGATGACAAGTGGCTTGGAGAGATACAAGGATTTGTCCAAGCTCACACAGAGTTCAGTTCAAACCCAGGACTCTGTCCCGTTGGCTCTGTATTTTAGCCATGCATGCCGGAGCTGTTGGAAGAAAGGTTTAAGATGCAGTTGTGGATATGGAGTGTGGGTTTATTTCCTCCAGGGGGAATCCAGGAGTCTCAGCCCAATCTTAGGGCTGCTGTCATGGAAACCATCTCATTCTCCATCTTCTTTGTCTCTAGTGACAGCCAAAATAGACAAGGTGGCTAGGATCGACTATAGCCTGGTGGTTTCTCCGATAGCCACAGCTGACAGCCTGGACCTGCCGCTGAAGGTGAGGATCACACTTCTGCCTCAAACTCAGGGCTCTTCACTGGCCTCCAAAACCAACCTGCAGGGCCTTGGCCCCCTCTCTGCCTCCCCCTGCTCTTCTCTCCCCACCTCCAGCCATCCTGGCCTTCCTGCCATTTCTGACCTTCCCTGTGTCTGTCCTGGCCAGGGCTTCACACGTTCCCTCTGCTCAGGGTCCTCCCCCTGCAGCTCTCCACTGCTCCCTTCCGGTCTCTGCTCAGATAGGTGCTCGCCAGAGACACCTGCCCGGACCTCAGACCACACATGGCCTGCTCAGTGATGCCCCAGAATAAGAGATTCAAACAGGACATATTTATACTGCCACTGAGAAGGGCTGTTACTTCTAGGCTCCTGCTTAGGGCTGACACCAATGCATTGACCTCTAAGGTCCTAGGTCCTATGCATTCACACACACACACAGGTGAAAACCCATCTAGAGTTTTTGGTGGATGTTTGCACAAATGGATGTGCACCATCCTTCTGCCTGTGTTTCTTACCTAACGATGTGCATGGAAGAGGGTTTCTGACCAGAAGACTGTCCCTCTTATTATTTTTAAGAGTTGCATGAGTTCCATAGTATGGGCATCATGGTTGTTAATTTTAAATAATGATGATACAAAGATGCAGGGAATGTTACACACAGGTATCTAAAACCCAGATTTAAGAAGTGCTACCATTTTGTCATATTTACTTGTAGTGCTTTAAAAAGTAGAACATGGTGGTAATAACTCATAGGGCCCCCTTTCAGATACTCATGCTGACCAAGGCATGTCTCCTCCCCTCCGTCCTCTCCCCCGACCCTTTTTCTTACACTGGGGATTGAACTCAGGGCCTTCACTGTGAGAGCTGCCTCCCAGGCCTTTTTTATTTTAAGACAGGGTCTCATTAAGTTGCCCCAGATAGCTGGATGTGATGACACATGCCTGTAATCCCAGCACTCAGAAGGCTGAGACAGCAGGATAGCCATGAGTTTCAGGCCAACCTGGGCTACATAAGTGAGTTTAAGGCTGTCCTGCCTTACATAGTGAGACCCTGACTCAAACAAAACAAAAAGTTGCCCAATTTGGGGTTGTCCTTAAGGTCCCTCTGCCTCAACGTCGTCTGCAGAGTGCTGGGATTACCACGTGTCCTTCTTGTCCGTGTTCTTATAATTTTCATGGTCCTTTAAATTTTACCTGTGTGGTATCCTATCAGAGGTGTCCACCTATGGGTTTGCTTTTACAAGCTTAATGTTACTTTTTGGCATGTTGCTGAGTGCTCTTTAGAAACATAATATACATATACACACACAGCCTACAAACTCTCAGGAAACTGCAGAATCTGTTTAAAGCGTGCACAGAACACTCACAGAAGCTTAGCTCCCCTCCATGCTGCCCCCGGGACAGAGGAAACAGCGTTCAGAGTCCGGCTGCTCTTTGACGGGCTCCATCCTGCCAGCCGGTTGCTGAGCCCACCGTGTGGCTAGGAGTGTGCCCTGGACTCTGCATGCCTGCGTGTCACTCATCAGCTGTGTCACTTAGGCAGGTCGCTTCATGTCTCCGTGCCTCAGTGTCCCTTCCTGTAGGGTGAGGGGTAGGCAGAGAAGCACGCTTGGCAGTGTCACCTAGCAGGCGAGCCGGGCTGCTCTCCCTGCATGGTCATCAGGTCCTCAACTGCTTCTCCTGATTTGGACGTGCTGAATTGTGGTTCCCCAAGGGTTCCCCTGGCTCACACTGTTGTCTCTCTTCCCCCAGGGGGAGTTTTTCATTCAGGCCAACCGCAGCCAACCTCCCTTTAGCCCTCCAGTGATGGCCATTCCACCTGTCCACGACCGCATGGTGTACCTGGGCATATCCAACTACTTCTTCAACACAGCTGGGCTTGTGTACTATCAGGCTGGAGTCTTGAAACGGACCCTCACGAACAACATGGTAAAGCTGGCTGGGGGCAAACCTCGAGGAAGAGCTCCGGAGTCGGGGTCTAGCAGGCCTTGTGGATTTAAGACTTTGTCCAAGATGCTGATTCTAGAGCTAAGAGTCAGGCAGACCTGAGTTTCAACACTCGTCCCATCCCTTTTTTTTTCTCTTTGAGACAGGGTCTCGCTATGCCATTCCAGCTGACCTTGGGCTCACTTTGTAGCCCAGGCTGGTCTCAAATTTGCAACGACCCTCCTGCCTCAGCCTCCTAAGTGCTGGGGTTACAGGCATGCGCCACTGCACCCAGCAGGTCCCATGTAGGCTGGGGACCAGGGCCAGTTACTCAGCCTCTGGGAACCGTGATTTCCTCATTTTCTCCTCCAGAGGGCGCAGTGAGGTAGCAGTGTCCAGGAGGGAGGCGGAGCTGGGGCGTTGTGCCGCAAGCTGTGAGCGGCACTCTCCTGTGAGGCTGTAGCCCGTTCCAGCCTCGCTTCTCTATTCTCCTCGGCAGCCTCGTTGTCTGTCATATGCTCATGGCTGCTGCCCACCCTGGGCCTCAGTTTACTCATCTGCACAATGAAGAAACCACCCACCTCCCCAGAGTCTAGTTTTAACCAGATTCCAGCTGAGCTGCTGCTTTGTGAAGTCAATCCGAGATTCTCCTCTGTGTGGGCCACCAGGATGCGCCTGCAGAGGCCACTTGTTCAGACAGGGAGTGCAATCCTCCGAGTCTGTGCCTCACCGTTCAGAAGCAGCCCCTCAACACCACCACCACCACAGTGAGGGGTAGGGCCTGATAGGAGGAGATGGGCGTGGAGGCCGGCTAACTGAGACAGGACGTCCTGTGATTGGTTTGGAGCAGATAAGACTTTCTTGGGGCAGGCTTCATTGACCACGCCCACTCCTGTTGAAGGGTTGCAGAGGTTGGAGGGTCGCAGACCGTCCTCCTGTATAGGCTAGCCATCACCCAGTGACACATTCAGTCTCGCCCCACAAGCAGCATTTGCCTCCACCTCCTGATCTATAGCACCCTTTTTTCTTATTTTTTTACAGCTGCCGAAGGGATCTAAGTTGCACTTGACCACCAATTTCCTTGGACAATTGCTACCCAAGGTAGGAATGAGCTTTCACTCCTCCCTGGGCTCTGGGGAGGACTAGGCTGTGTCCAGGCCAAGGGGCAGCCAGGGACTTGAGCCGACTGAGAGTGAAGGGGACTGCTAGGGGTCCATGCATTCCTCACATGTCCACTACTTGTCTGGGACCCTGTGCTGGGGACCTGCCAAAGGAGACCGTGTGCCTACTTCAGGCACATGAGACAATGCCAAAAACAATTGCTGCCTGTGACAAGTGACACCAACAAGTGGGTACAGACAAGGGGCACCGGGCAGGCCTCGACCGTAGTCTACTCAGCTGTGTGGTTGAAACAGGTACTTATTCCTCCTCATTCTGGAGAGTGGGAGACACAGACTGGGCTTTGGGCAAGGATTGTCTTCTCCCTGGGTCCTGACATGGCCCTTCCTCAGTGTGTGTGGAGGGATGGGGGGAGGGCAGAGACGGAGAGCTCTGGTGTCTCTTCCTAAAAGGACACTGATTCTGTTAGCTCAGGGCCCCATCCCCATGACCTCATTTAACTTCACTCCCTAAGAGGCCCTGTCTTCAAACACAGTCACACTGCAGGCTGGGGATTAATGTGTGGATTTAAGGGGGAGGGGACACAAACATTTATAACAATTTCTTTAATGGTGGCAGTGTTGGAAAATTTCTACCGAGGAAGGGAAGCCTGGCAGGGGTGAGAGGAGGAACAGCATTGCATTATAGTCCCATTATTTCACCTAAGCTGGGTTTACCTGGGGAGGGTGCAAGGCTGGGAGAGAGGAGGGAGGTCACCACAGCCCTCCTGAGATGCCCTTGAAGCCACTGCTGCTCTCTGAGTAACTTGGATTTCAAGGAAGAGAGAGAGTCATGCCGAGGAGGAATAGGGGGTCAAGTATTCAGTCAGAAGAACACAGAATGCAAAAGGGTTTCAGACGGCAAGAGGTGGTGTTGTGTTTGAGTGGCAAAGTCCCCTGTGCCCAAGATGGAGGACAAGGGCTAGAGATGAATGGAATGGCCAGATACCAGGCCCTGAAGTCATTTGGATTTATTCTCAGAGCCCTGGGAAGACACTGGGGGTGTTTCTGCCAGGGAAGGCCAAGGTAGGATTTGAAACCGTTTTAATAAAGCCACCTCTTGTGTTGGCTGTCCCCACTGCGTGTGCAGGTGTCCGAGATGTTCCCCAACTTGGATGTACAGCTGGTCCTGTCCGTCTCCTCGCCACCACACCTGGCCGTGCAGCCCACCGGCCTTGCCTTCACCCCTAAACTGGAGGTCCAGGCCTTCGCCATCCTCCCCAACTCCTCTCTGGCGTCCCTCTTCGAGCTTGGCCTGGTAAACTGCTGCTGGGCATGTGTCGGGAGCACTGTCCTTGGAATCAGGGGATTCGGGCCTGGGTGGTGGGACTCAGAACCCGAGACCAAAGCCCCCTGCCCCCCCAGCCACACAGCTGCCTGCTGTTTATTTGTGATTCTGTTATTCACCCACTTTTTCATTCCCTCACTTATTCATTCCTTTGTTGGCTTGAAATATGTACACTTTTTCAGTTCACTACTCAGATCTTTGATCAGTGTGTGGTGCATTTACATATCTCCTCACTGTTCATTTATTCATCCAATTATTAATTCGTTCAATTATTCATTAGGTTGCTGCCTTGAAATGTGCTATACCTTCTCTGGATCCTACATGCATTCACCTACTCAATTATTCATGGATTCATTTACTTACACACTTGTTCTATTGGCTCTTCATTTGTGTATTTGCTGATTTATTCATTCATCATTTATTGATCCATCATTCATTCATCTGTGCATATCTTTACATATTCCTCCATCTGTGGATTTGCTTAATCCTTCACTTGTTCAAGTCCTCATTCCATTGTTGATTGACTCTTTCACTCATTTGATCACCCCATCCCTGCCAGGATTTGGTGGCAACTACTCTGGCCACTGGGAGTGAACCCAAACTCCCTGCCATTGGGGCAGCGCTCAGCAGCCCAGTTTCAAGTGGAGACCTGTTATCCCCACTTCACCAACCAGATGGCTTTTGAGTGGCTCATTTGACACACCAAAACTGAGGCGAGCATCTTCAATTCTCCCTCAGTAAGTAAGCATTTTCTAAACAGATCAGTGAGTGAGTCTCAGGAATGGGACTGTCTATTCCGCGGTCCTCAGATCTGTCCCACATCACCCCTCCCCGAGTGGCTCAGGAACTCAGGAGAACTCCTATAATCCTGGTGACAACCAGGACTCCTAAGAGCCACAAAGCAAAGGCTCCCTACTCCTGGGCTATGGTGGGCCACCTGGCCAGGCTTTCAGAAGCTGGCCAGGTTGGTCACCTGTTCGGGAAGGTCACCCTGGCTGTTACTTTCCAGAGCATGAATGCACTCTTGAAGGTCAGTGCCAACACTGACAGACTTGTGGGAGAGCTCGCGGTGGACACGTAAGTGGCCTGGGGAACAGAAGGGGGGTTTCCCATGCACTCCTGGAGGCCACAGGCCTTCCCACATACCACAAGCTCCATGTCCTGGCTTTTGTTCAACTGTCACATTTCAGCCTCGGTTTGTAGACAGCGACACTGAGGCTCAGAGATGAAGTGGCCAAGGTCACATGTCTCTCAGGAGAGTCCCAGCTTTAGCACTGAATGTCCTGCATCCTGGGACATTTATGCAGCCCAGATAGACTCACAGCAGGGAAATGTCAGCAGAGAACCCATTCACACTGAGTACAACAGTGTCCAGGACTGGTGACCCCGGCTCTGTTGGCACTAGGAAATCCCACATCAGCCCCCAGCTCCTCCCTGGGACTTCAGGCCCTGTCCCTTACCAGGGTTCCATGTGACCCAGGTTTGAATCCAAGCTCTAAAGAGTGTGGTCAGGAGGATGGGCTCTGACCAGAGGCTGCCAGCATTTGAAAAAGCAAGCGACAAACTCCAAACCTCAGTTTCCAAGCCATGAAATGAACCCACTAAGTATTCTCTACCAACAACACCATCGTGGGGATTAAGTGAGCTATTAATATGTACTGAATGCTTGGAACACACAGCTTATAACAAGCTCTCAAGAAACAGGAAGGAACCAAGTGTGATGGTGAAGCCCTGTGATCCCAGCACTCAGAAGGCTGAAGCAGGAGGGTTGCCATGAGTTCGAGGCCAGCCTGAGCTACATTGAGAGTTGAAGACCATCCTGGACTACATAGATTCTTTCTCAAGAAACAAACACACAAAACCAAACAAGAAAGAACAAGGAGCACACAGAGAAAAAGAAATGGAGACTCAGAAAAGTGGAGACACAGAGAGAGATGGAGAGAGGGGAGGGAGAGGAGAGGCTTGGAGAGAGACAGAAAGGACAAGAGGGACGGAGACAGAGGGACACGTGAACAGGGAGACAGACACAGAGGGAGCGAGGTGGGGAGAGGCGGAGGCGATGCGATGGCCCTGATGCTGAATCCTGTGTGTGCCCCTGCATCACGCGCTGCTGGCTGAGCTGCATCCTGACCGTTTCCGCATGTCCTCGGGTGCAGAGCTGTCCTCCTGACCTTGAGATCAGCCCCTGAGGTTTACATGCTGCTCCTTTCTCCTGGCATCATTGTGACAAGTGTTACTGCTTCAGGAACACGCGGGTTTAATTTGCCTTGAAACACCCACAGGCCTCAAATGGACAAGCAGGGAGGAGCCTGCTGACTGCGGCTTAGCGCAGACTCTGAAAGGACAGGGCTGAGGGTGGGGTCTGGGGTCACGGATGGGCCCAGGATCCTGGGGCCACCGACTCTTGATAAACAAGAGCAAGATTTTAAACTCTAAGGATGGTTGGAGGCAACAGTGCTCTGGTGTCCAGGAGACCTGCATGAAGTCCTGCTTTGCTGATTGCTAGCTGTGTGGTCTTAGGCAGGTCACTTGACCTCTCTGAATGTCAGTTTCCTGATATAGAAAATGGGAACACCATGGTCTTTTGCTAAAATGCCAGTGAGGCCACAGGGTGCAGGGTGGCTATGGTGACTGAAAAGTCCAAAGCATTCAGGCAAGAGTGGCCCAGGTGCCAGATGATGTCCTTGGGATCCAACTCCATCTCAGCTCTGCTGTCATCTGTGCTGACTTCAACCCCCAGCAGGCTGTCACCCGGTAGTAGCCTCCTGTTTTCCTGGAGAACCTGAGGGCCACAGACCTGGTATTTCCAGCACAGGTCCTGGCGCTGCTCTCACTGGGCAGCACAGGTGACAGCCCATGCCTGAAGAGTGACCACTCCAGGGTCTGCGTGCAGGCCAGCGTGGGTTCAGCAGCACCCAAATCCTGGGGAGGACCCTGCAGGGAGGCCAGGCCCTGCGTGCTCCTGCCGGCCGGGCTGCTGGGTCTCAGTCGCATTTTTCCTACACAGGCTGCAGCTGAGGCTGATACACTCGAACGTCGGTACCTTCCCGGTGAGTCTGAGGCCCTTGGTGGCTTGGTTCCTGCCCTGACCCCGGGGGACTGGGCACCACTCGGGAGCCACTGGTTCATTTGCATGTAATTTGTTTGTGAATTAGTGGTTGGAGGAGCTTTGTGGTCACTGAGGTGAGGCCTTGGGTGAGTCATTTGCCATCTCTGAACTGCAGGCTTTCCCAGCTGGGTCAGTGTGGGGATTTTTTTTGTGGTGGGACTGGATTTGTACAGTCTGGTACAAAAAGTACCAGACGCTTGTTGAATGAACAAGTTAGTGACTTTATTGAGCAAGTATTTCATGCTGGCTTGTTCTAGGCGTGGATGATGTTGAGCTTTAGTAGTGGGGAGACAGAATGGTAGGAAATGAAGAGCGATCCCATCAGGATCAAAGCTATGGAAACAGAATGAGGGTGGGGGGAAGTGAGGGGGAAGTAAGTGCAAAGTGGTGAGAAGGTGATGTTTGGGGTGACAGGGGAGAAGGAGCCCTGCAGAGGCAAAAGCCCTGTGGTATGAACAAGCTCAGCATGTTTGAGGAGCAGAAGGAGCCAGAGTGACCGGAGTGGGTACCGGAAGAGACGAGAGTGGGACAGGCCAGGGCTGCTGGGCAGGGCCTTCTAGGCTGTGTCCCAAGGGCAGTGAGCAGCCAGCATCCTGTGCAAAGTAACATGCTTGGATTCGTACCTGGGACTCAGCGAGGAAGGAGTCCCCCAGCACAGTGAGACGGCTCCCCGCCCCAGGAATCCCTGGCCACCATTGGAGCTGCCCGGGGCCTGAGAGCCACCTGCCCACATAATGACCCATTCGGATGCTCGTAGTGCAGTCCTAAGAGCACCCACCCTGCGACTGCCACCTGAAGCCACCACATGTTGATCTGTCCAGCATCTTGTTCCATGTTCCTGACTCTGCTGTGGGCTTAAGTTGAACCCCTGGCTGCTGCCCCGGGGTATCTCCCTAGATCCCTACCCCCAAGTTCCTCCCAAGCAAGCACCTTGAACTCACCAAGTTGGAGTCAGACTGTCCTGCGTCCTCTCCGGGTCAGATAGGAATCTAGCCCACCCCCTTCACCTGGTGAGACCACAGTACATAGAAGCCACCTCACAGCATTGTCATGACTTTCCTGGGGCTAAATCAGTAACGCACATCTGCTTCTGCAGAAAATAAGTATATGCACCTCGCAGGATTCAGAGGAAGGAAGGCACACAGCGGTGAACCCCGGGAATGATGATAGCCCGGGGAAGGAAACTCAATTGTTCTAGAAACAGAACATACATATTTACAAGTTGTAAATGTCACCACTACAGGCAATCATCCTCATGCTTCCACATTATTTTTGAAAAAAATTTATTATTGCCAAAGCAAAGTGTATATACCATAGAGCACAAAGGACCAATAGATTTGCCAAACAAAATAAAAATCTTTCATATTTTTACCACTTAGTTCATAATTTGGAATATATCCTTCCTGACCATTTGCTCTGCCCATTTAATTTTAAAAAATGGAATTAGGTGATTTCAACAGCCTCCTTTTCCTCATTCAAACATATAGCAAGCATATCTCTTGTTGATGATTATATTTCTGCAGGTTCAGTTTGGGCGAGGAGCAGGGAGACAAGGTCTCACTACAAGCTGGCCTTGAACTCACTTATGGAGTCTAGGGTGGCCTTCAATTTAAGGCAACCCTCCTGCCTCAGTTTCCCAAGTGCTGGGATTACAGGCATGTGCCACAATGACCAGCTTACACTATCATTCTTTTTTTTTTTTTTTTTTTTTTTTGTCTTTTTCATTTTTATCGGTACCGGGGATCGAACTCACGACCGCCTGCTTGCAAGTCAGGTGCTTATGCCGCTGAGCTAAACCCCCAGCCCCTACACTATCATTCTTAACAATTGCTTATTATCTCCTAGTATCAAAGTTTCACTGTCCCCGCAATGACTCCCCTATTGTTAGACATGTAGGTTGATCTTTAGTTCATTGTTCAGATTAAAACAATAGCATGGGCAAGTATCCTTCAAAGGTCTCAATTTGCCTCCATTCCACATAATGTCCATAAGACAGACATTCAGAGCCACGTTCCAGGGCCCAAATGGCACACATTTTGAGGCCTTTGATGAACGTGCTCAAACGGCCATACACAGGCTGATTCCCTGCCTCCACCTGCGGTACTGAGAAGGTGCGATTTTTAAACAAAGGTTTACTCACTTTCCGATGACCTTCCCAGCATCACTGTGGAGGGCAACCCCCACTTAGGCTGCTTCTGCTTGGGGAACCTTGAGCGCAGCAGAGATCGCCTGATGGCCTTGGCCAGGCTGCTGAGTGCCCGTCACCACCGGGTCCACCTCAGCTGTTCTGCCGCCCCGGAGGCTGCTGAGCGCTCGAGTAGCAGGGAAGGTGTCGCAGGAGCTGGTCCCGCTGTGCCCTGATGACTCTGTCTCCTTCCTGTTCTCCAGGTGGAGCTGCTGCAGAATGCCATGAACTACATCGTGCCCTTGGTGGTGGTACCCAAGGTCAATGGTGAGGAGCTCTGGGAAGTGTGTGATTTTCAGCAGTGGGGTCAGGATGGGGGACTGCCTCCAGGCACCGAGTTCCTGCCTCAGTTGAACCTTAGATGGGCACCTGCCCACCAACCTGGGCAGCTCCCACCCATTATTTCAGGCAGCCCTTACAGCAGTCCCACAAGATGGGGGATTGTGAACAAATCTAGTGTTCATAGGAGGAAATGAAATATCGGAACAGTTAAGTGACTAATTTTAGGTCACAAGGCAGGTGGCAGGTGGTGCTGGCGTCGGATCCCAGCTCTGGAGTCTTTTTCCAACTCTGGGAAAAAGGCAGAAGTGGGGACTCTCCCAGAGTGCTCGGTCACAAAGCAGGCCCGCCCCTAACCTGTGAGCACAGTGACAGGGGACCAACAGAGGTGTGGACATATGGATGCATGACTTGGGCATTTAGAAATTATAAAGTTAGTCAGCCAATTATTATGCAGACTGTGAACCAGCCTCCTGCTTCAGCACATGTGGCTCCATAAAGACCTGGGAGACAGGCCTGAGAATTCTCCAGAGTTCCACATCACAGTGTGGGGACGAGGAGGGCCTGGCCCCTGGCCACTGCCACCTCTGGTGTCACCCCCTGCATGGAGGGGCTTTGTGCACACGTGCAGGCCTTCTGTCTACACCATGGCCCATGAAGCCACGCCCTCTGGAGGGCAGTCGTGGGGAAGAGGCCCGCATGGAGCCTGGAAGTGGACATGAGGACAATGGGGAACATAGGGTGGGGGTGTAGACCCCCAAGGCCACCTTCCTCTCAAGCATGCATGCCCCAGTCAGTTCTATCTGGGGGTGAGCACCTTCTGGAGGTGCCCCCCATGCTCTCTGCCACCCCTCCCCTTCTCATTGTCTGTCTCTGATGCAGAGAGACTGCAGAAGGGTTTCCCTCTCCCAGTGACCAACGGGGTCAAGCTCAGAAACCTGGTGCTTCGCTCTTACCAGGTGAGTCCCCAGGCTCCCTGTCACTGAATGTCCCACAGTGCTAACCTATCTGGCAATGCTTCCTCTGTGCCCACCTTCTGGGCACCTTCTCCCCTTGCAACAACCCAGGTTTGCAGTGCTGTCAGTAAACAGAGGGACAGTGAGGGCTCAGAAAAGCCTCCAGGCTGGGCTCCACTGTGTTTAACGGTCATATGTCCCTCCCATGTACCACTTAGCAAGCATGAACCTTCTGAGGCACCAAAGCACCTCTTTAACGACCTGATGCATACACATTTTACGCCTTCCTTGTGTCCACCATTGTGCTGGGCACTGCAGTGTGAACAGGGTCAGTGTCACGCAGATTTACACTGGAGCAGGAGCCACTCTGGCTCTGCCCAGCCTGCCCTCCACAGCACCTGACACTGATGTCCCTCAGTGGGCCACCTTCTTCTGGAAGCTTCTGTGGCTCCTCTGCCCCATTTCTCCGCTTCTCCCCTGGGGCTCTCCTGGCCCCTCCTCAGTTGCTGGAGATGTCAGGCTGCTCCCCAAGCCTCGTCTCTCCCCTTTGTCTGCACTCCTCCAGTCACTCATCAGCTCCCCAGGCCCCAGCTTGGTGCCACTTCCAGCTTCTTGAGTCTCTCTAAGCCTCTCCAGTCGCTGCCCCTTCAACCCGGCACATTCCACAAAGCCTTTAGCCCCACAAAAAAGCCACCACCCACTCAGGTTTCCCAACAACTTGGGTCTCTCGGGCAAACCCCCATCACCCCAGTACCTCCCTCTTCTTGACCCTCAACATCAGTCAGTCAGTCCCCAATTCTTTTTCATTTTTCGTTTTTATCGGTACCAGGGATCGAACTCTTGACTGCCTGCTTGCAAGGCAGGCGCTTATGCCACTGAGCTAAATCCCCAGGCCCCCCCAATTCTTTAGACCCCCCCAATTCTTAAGCTTCTGAGAGAAGGGCACAGAGGGGCCAAGGGAAGTGTTTTGCAGCCTTGATTGGCGCTGTTGTGAGGAGGATGACAGATGAAGCCTCTGCCACAGCTGGGGGTGGGCGCTGCACATCACATCAGGAGGGGAAACAGCTGCCCAAGAAAAAGCAAAAAAGAACCAGCAGCTGACAGATGCCTGGGGTCAGCGGCCACTGATGTGTGGACGCACCAGGGAGAGCCCATGCGAACATCTCCCAGGCTCCTGCCTTTCTCACAGCCCACAGGCCCCACCCTGCTCTCTCGTCCCATCAGGCAGGCTCCCAAGGTTTCTTTCGTGAAAACCTGGTCATGCCAGGGTCTGACTTTGACTCCAGCCTAGGCAACTTATCAATTTAGCAAGAGCCTGTCTCAAAATAAAAAGGGCAGGAGAGGTAGCTCAGGGGGAAAGCCCTTGGTTCAATTCTCAGTTCTGAAAGAAAAAAAGCCAAATCCCTCGCCCAGCATGGGTGTGCCTACATCTGATGCCAGCATTCCATCTCTCACCAGGATTTCCTGCTGCTTGGAGTAAACGTTCACCATAGCTGAGCTCACCAGGGATGCATCTGGGGTGGGGCCTTGGCACCTGTTCCCAGGCTCCGCTTCTCCAGGGAATCCTTGATAGGTCCTGCTAACCTCTCTGAACTCAGACCTGGAAATGATCTGAACACGGGGAGTTTGTTCCTGGAAAAGGTCCTGGTGTACATTTCAGAGATGCTGTGATGCTTTCAAAGCTAGATTCCACATGTTCCCCAGGAATTGCATTCACTTGTGATCATAGTATTTCTCTTTGGGCTTCGTTTAAAAAAAAAAAAAACAAAAAAAAAAACACTTTTTCCCTGCGGATTCGGTGTGTGTATATTTTTTCTTATATCTAGTCCTTCCTTCCTTGACTGTAACTAGCTGGCCTCAGTGCCAGCGTACAGTACAACTATAGTCACATCTTTATTTCTGTGATTAAGCCCTTGCAGCCCTCCTGGAGAGGTGCAAGTTCCTTGGGGTCTCCGGGGGTTAAAGCTCCTGAGTGCTGTCCTGGTGCAGGGCAGAAGTGGAAAGTCAGCAGCCCATCGCGCTGTTGTTCTGCTCACTGCCACAGGGTGTCGCTGTTGAAGATGATCTTGCACAGCCTCTTGCTCCCTGTGGAGGAAGCAATATTGAGACTGTTGCTCCTAATGGTGCCACACGGTGTCGCCGTTGAGCAGGTCACCTGCACAGACTTTAGGCCCACGGGTGTCCAGGCTGAGCGTTTCCTCTTCACCAACCAGGATCTGGGGCAGAACACCAGGCTAGGTGACAGGGGCTGTCCTGAGGTGCAGGACGCTTCTCCATGTTTTCCGAGCCCTAGGTCGAAGCAGATCTCCAACCCAAACTGCTGGGCTCATGGTAGACTTGCATGCTGTCTTTGGGCGGTTTGGAGATAGGCTTGTCACATGAGACACTTCAGAGGCTCTCTGAGCCTCAGATAAGCGGGGATATACCCGGACTGCTGGGGCAGTCAGGGCCGGGTGACACGAACACATTTAGTTTTAAAAAGTCTCTGGACTCTTGGAAGGGCAAGAGTTGAAGGGGTGGGCACACACTAGGAGCAAGGCTGCTGACGGGGGAGGAAAGCATTTCAAAGGCATTTTTATAGAAAGATGCACACACGTCAGCAAAGATCACTGGTTCTTCTAAGTGGTGTTGAAGCTCTGGGGCCACAGTGGGAGGAGGGGCGGCCATCACAGTGGGCAGCAGGCACAGCACACGATGGTCTCTCTTGGCCCTCACGTTGCTGGCCCTCTCCCAAGGCGGGAGTTGCTCAGTTTCATTAGGTCGAGTCTTTCTCCCCATTCACACAGCTGACCCGAGCCCTTCTGCCACCAGAGCCCATGTGCTTTCCCTCAAATGGAAAACGGTGTCATTTCAGAAACTCAGAATGTGGAAGGGAGGATTATGGGGTTGCTTGCACAGGTCACGCACTGTAAAAAGGAACAGCAGGCTTCAGAAACAAAAATCTGTTATCCACCAAGAAGGTGCACTTGGTCCTGTGCGCCAGAGGGTAGGAGAGCCAGGGCCAGAAGAGCCGTAGCCAGTGAGGCTGACAGGAAGGAAACCAAAGCACAGCTTGGGGTGAGGCTGGGAGGCAGCAGCGGAGACTCTGGGTTTTGTTCCAAACCACAAGGGAGACGACTGGAGAGTTCTGAGTAGAGCATGACGCAATCCAGGTATAATGTGGCAAGGGCCCCTGGTTGCTGTGGGAGAGGCCAAGCTGGCTCGTCTGCTCTGGCTTCCTCCCTTCCTTCCCTTTGGTGCAGGCTGGCACCTTCCTGCACCCCCCTAAGCTTTCCTAAGCATTTGCACAGTTCCTGGCTGCTCTCTAAAAAGCTAACGAGTGCACCATATTCTGGCGTCTAATGCTGCCCATCCAGAGATCTCTCTAATGTTGGGACAGACAGCAGCACATGGTCCCCAGCACTCTCCAGGTGACCTGCTGTCCTGACTGCAAACCCACTGTTGAACACTTTCTCCTTCTAAGGACCTCTAACATGCACACGGTTTTCCTCTGAGTGTTGAAAATGTTCTAAAGTTAGATTGGGAAACTGATTGCTCAACTCCGTATGTGTATGAAAGCCACTGGGCTACACGCTTGAAGTGGGTGAAAGTCCTGATTGTAAAGTATGTATTGATGATCTTATGAAAAGCTGGGCATGGTGGTGCACATCTGTTATCTCAGCACTGGGGAGGCTGAGGCAGGAGGATCTTGAATTTGAGGCTAGCCTGGGCAACTTAATGAGTTTAAGTTCAGCTGGACCTACTCAAAAGAAAAAAAAAACAATTCATGAAAAAATTAAAATAGGAGAAAAGAACTCCACACTGCTTAAAAACTCACAGTTCAGCAGCTTTCTTATTGGGTTAAGCATTGCCCTCTTGGGGTTCCATTTGGAAATGCTGATTTATTAAGTATTAAGTGTAAGACCTGAGGTGGGTCACAGAGAAACCAACCACTAGGTTCCCAATTCGCCACCTCTCATGAGTGAGCTGTGGTCTCAGACACCTCAGGTTTGAAATCAAGGCTGCTGTTTACAGCTTTGTGACCTTGGGCAGCTCATTGGATTTCCCGGTCCTCACTTCCCTAGGCTGTGAAGTGGGTGTCATACTAGCACCTACACCTCACACTGTCCTGGGAGCTGGGTGCGTGTGAACTCTGGGACCAGAACGTGACAGGGACGATCCCATCCATGTAGTTCTAATATGGTACAGCTCTTCTCTCTCACGCTCACAGCTGTTGTGGGGCCGGTCCCTGAGCTGCTCCCAAAGCCTGTGCAGAGTAGGTGCCCAATCAGTTTTTATTTTTAAAATAACCCAGGATTTGATCCCTGGTAGGGAATTCCCAGAAATGACCCAGACTGCCTTCCAGGAAGGGGCTGGTCAGGCATTAGTGCCCGGGCTGGCCAGGTGTTAGGCTTGGTCTCACCAGGTGGGGGATGAGCACACAGTGAAACAGGGGCTGTCCTTCTCTCTCTGTAGGCTGTGTCCCGTGTTGTGAAGTCTGTGGCTCTCTGGAATTCAGGAAAAGAAATCAGTGATGTGACCTCTGGCAAGCACTAACGGATCCTTTGTTGGTGGGAAATTTCCATTCTACCAGAAGGTCCTTCAGGGGCCCAAAGCCATCAAGGCAGTAGATGCTGCCAGTTGCTGGGGCAGAGAGGGCTCGAGGGAGTGCTGAGTCCTGAGGTCCCTAGACCCCTCCTGGTGGGAGCAGCTGTGGCTGTGTGACTGGCCCTGCTCTAGGGGGCCTTTAGCACCCCAGGGAGAAGGCACGCCACCTCCAAATCACACCACGTTGCCCCTGGCATCACTGTTTTTATTTTGTAGATCTGTATGCCTTGAGGTCTTGTGTGTGCACTCCTGTGTGTGTGTATGTGTGTGTGTGTGCACACGTGCACATGTGCTTGTGGATCTGCAGGTGCTGGTGCTGCTGAAGGCATTGCTGTAGATGTCAAAGCCCACATACCCTGCAGAGACCCAGGACTGCAGTCTTCGCAGCATCACTGATTTCTCAGGAGTGTGGGCGCCATCATGGAAAGCTGCCCTGAAGGTAAACAGGGCCATGAGGGGCTGTGCTCAGCGAGAACCTGGGCTCTTAGGCCTCTCTCAGAGCAGCATCAGGTGGGTTCCAGATGCTGTCTCCACACCTGAAGAAATGTGATGACTCAGAATTCACAACTGAATCAGGTCACTGGGTCATTTGTCCACACATAACAGGATCCGAGCCACTGGTCTTGTCCCCTGCACTGGGCTGCATTAGGAGCCAAGTGAGGAGCAGAGTTTCCTGCCTATCAAAGCCCAGCATAGAGCCACAACAAGACTCAAAGCCTCCCAGCGCTGGTCCTTCACTTTTAATGCCTCTGTGTTTCTGTTTCAGCAATGCTGTTCCCTCTCCTAGATTGTCCTTCTCTCCTTTACAAGCAAAATGTCCATATGACCTAGACCAGCAGGAGGCCACCTCCCTCACCAGGTCTTCCTCGGTAGGCAGCCCCCACGGCTTCCGGCCTCACACAGCTTGCTGTGTATTTTTAGTTCCATCTCCAGGATCTCCTGGCTCAGAGTACCCAAACGGGGGGGGGGGGGGGGAGAGGAGGACACAGGAGCTGCGGGCAAGGGGTTATTGGGAACCCACACCAGGAGGGAGCAGGGAAAGAAGCCCTAACCTCAGTCCTGTTGTCATGCTGCCTTCTGGCTGAGCCCAACAGATGAGGAAACTGAGTCCCCCAGGAGTGGTGTAGGATTCTAACACAGGCCATCAGACCCAGAGTCCACACAGTGAACACGGAGTTCATTTATTCCCTCAGCAATTATTTACTCTGTGCAGCTCGGTCTTTTGGGCACAGTGGAGGCCACATTCTAGGCTTCTCAGCCAAGGCATTTACAGTGGGCTACAGTAAGCACTGTCCTTGTTAGCAGAGTCCTTTGTCCTGGTAGTGGGATGAGTGCCACAGCTGTGGCTTTTGCAGACAGGAATGGGCAGCCAGGCAAAAAGAAAGAGAGAGAGAGACAGAGAGAGAGAGAGAGAGAGAGAAAAGAAAGAAAGAAAGAAAGAAAGAACCAGAGATGGGCTGTGTGCTACTCCCTGAGGCTTCTGCCAGGTTTTCTCTGCTGAGCTGTGAGCAGAAACATTACCCAGGGGCAGCCAACACAGGGATGGAGGCCTGGCCTGGGCCCACATTGCATCCTGCCTGGGCAGCGTCAAGATCCGCAGATCACTGCTGTGGGAGAGTCCCACTGCAGAAAATATCACCCCTGCTACCAGAGGCAGGATGATATTCATGTCCCCACGAGTGCCCCACCCTCCAGACTGTCCTCTCCTGCTCTCCAAACTGGAAGGTCCCCAGGAGTCCCCTGCTCTAACCTCTTGCTAAAGGGACAATTAAAGCCCAGGGAGGAGATAGGAAGACAAGCCGGAGCACCTTCCCCAGGCATCCTGGGCAAACTCCTGGGAGGCCCTTTGGCTGCAGCCCGCTGTCGTTGCTCTCTGCTCAGCCTGGGGTGGCTCTTCCCAAGCCACTGATGCCCCACCCCCAGCATGTCCCCTCTCCAGAAAAGCCTTGCCTGGGCGGTGTTGTAGGGCGGCGTCCACCCCACCACCGGGCTCAGCCTTGCTGGGGGACTGTAGCCTACATCACTTCACCCTCAAAGCCCCCATTTCTTCATCCAAAGATGAGAGTAGGATCTGACCTCAGAGAGTGGCAGCAGGGAAGAGACACCTGCGGCTTCACCAGCTCACTGCCAGGCGTGTAGCAGGTGAGTAGTAAGTACTGGTTTCCCTCTAGTTCTTGCTAATTCTGCACGGCCACAGAATGCAGAGGTCTCAATGTGCCATCTAGGACAGACTAAGCCGGAGGGCAGGGGGCAGACAGAGACCCCCCCAGACCTCAGCCCCAGGGACAGGAGGAGCAGGAGAACAAGGCTGTGGGGCAATCTGTGCTGAACGGGGGAAGCTTTGATCTTAGCCCCAGCACCTCTGGGTGCTCTCTGTGCACCACCTGGTACTCCGCCACGCTCAGCGGTGGCATGAATGCGCCACAATCCCAAGCGCGAGAGAAGTTGTGGGCATATTTCTAAATGACCACAATGACCAAAAAGCAGAATTGCTCAGTGCCACAGCTGGAGAAAGTGCAAGGGACTGTGGGGCCCCAGAGGGGACCTTTCTCTAACCTAGAGGGACACAGGGGTGATCAGGAAATGTTCCCTGGAGGGGAGGACAGAACGAAGCTTACAATCACAGAGCATGCTGGGAAAAACTCCCCAAATCAAGCACAAAAGAAATGTTTTTGTTTTCACTCACTGCACGTATAAGGCATGTCCAGAACCACAGCCCAAGAAAATAAATATTTTTAATATCAACAAGCAAAAAAAGGTTTTTGTGTTGCTGTTGTTGTTTGAGACAGAGTCTTGCTGTATAGTCCAGACACAGCTCACCATCCCTGTTCCTCAGCCTCCCAAATCCTAGATTTACAAGTGCGTGCTACGGCACCCAACTATACAAAGGTTTTTTTTAAGACCCTAACCCTAGCCCATAAACCGTCCCCCCAGCCAGACACAGGCCTTCGTAACACCTTCAGAGAGGAGGCAGGACATGGCAAGGCTGGCTGGGTCGATAAGTGGGACCTGTTAATTACAAGATCCTAGGACAGGACCGAATAATTTCCAGGACTCTCTGATGTAGAACTTCTCGTAGCTCCCGCAAGATATGGGTGTCATAAACAAGACAGATGCCATGAGGGGCTTGCTGCTGTCACTCCCAGTGGCCCACCTGTGTCCCCCAGACCAGGGGTACTTTTATTTTTGTTCCTTTGCTCTTTCTTTGTTGTGTTTGGCCCAAGTTTGTCTACAGAACCAGAGAGTGTTTGGCTCTTATTTCTTCACCCCTCACTTTTCAAATAAACTTTTGACACAATTTTTGGCTTGATTATTCAATTCTTTTTTCAAGACAAGGACCTGAAATTCGTTCAACTGGTGAGCCATTTCTAAAGGGACTACCAGATAGCAACTTCATTAAGTACTTCTCTAGCTGACTGTAATCAAAGACTGGGCGATTACCATCTGGGCCACTGGAGCTGAGGGCTCATGACCTTCCTGCCTTCCTTATGGAGAGATGCACTAATCTTGTAGCCTCCTATCAATGGCTGGCCACACTTCATGTCACAGTGCCCCTTTCTGGGACTCTCCAGGTTGGGACGGTCCCCCTGCCTGTGTCACACAGCACAGGGGCCCCTTGGTGTGGTAACATATTTGCACAATGATTTAACGATGCACAGAGGGGCAAAGTACAGACGGAGAACTGCTGGGTCACAGGATACGCAGCTGTTTAAAGAGAATTTTCTGGCTGTCAGCTTTTTGGTTGGCTGTTTGGCTTGGTTGGTTGTTTTGTTTTCTTGTTCAGGGAATTAAAGTTTAAAAGGTTGCCAAGTTGCCTTGCAGAAACTTTCTCACAGGAGGAGCACAGGTTTCTTCTAAGTCAACAGAGACCAGAGCCAAGTATGGGGGAGGGGAGGGCAGGTCTGATGGCAGCAGACCTGCTCCTGTCTTGTGCTGGGTTTATGAGTGAGCCCTGTGGCCTCTGAAAACCTGTTTTCCTGTCTGTGACAACTTCCAAGCCCAGCTTTTAAAACCTGATGACAGGAGGCAGAATCTCTACGAATACAGGTTTCTGCGGTTGGGAAAGCAAGGATTGTCCCTCTTCCCTCTTTTCTAAGCAACAGCAAGCTTCCCACCTGCGCCAGCTGCAACAATGTTGCAAGCAGATTCCGGTTCCTGAGCCTCCCCTTCCTGCTCTAGGGGCCACCCTCCCTCCCTCGGGAGCCACCCCTAGCCCTCAGCCTCCACTACTTAAAGGAGCCAGCCCAGCCCCTGGGTGACAGTCCTGCCACCCACCAAGAGTCCAGGATGAGGGCCTTGCCCCTGTTGTCCCTACTGGTGCGCTTGCTGCTGGCATCTGTCCCAGCAGTTCTGGGAGCCAACCCAGGCCTGGTTGGCAGGATCACTGACAAGGGCCTGGAGTACGGTAAGAAGCCACACTGTTGGCATCAGCCCCTCTGGCACAGTGGGGCTAGGGGTGGACTCCCACTCCCACGGAGCAGTCTTCTGGGTCAGTCAGCTCTGGTTTGGGTCCTGGCCACACCCCGCTGGGTGGTTTAGGCACATTATACTTGTGTTAGCTGGGCTCCCACCAGCAGAGGGGGACAAAGACCGTGGGTGACCTCAGTAGGTGATGAGGGAGATGGTTCTGGGGAAGGCTTTGAGGGACAGGGCTGTGAGCTGGAGTAGGGGCTGGTCACTATCAGCTGCCTCCCAGGGGACTAGAGCAGTTCCCTTGGGAGGATTCTGGGCAGACTGAAAGCACATCCCATAGAGCCCAAAGTCAGAGCAGAGTGTGCCACAGGGCCCTGGGCTGGGGTCTCATGGACAGGTGGCAACTCTTCAGTTACTCAGCAAACCTTTGCAACTGGATTTATTGTATGTTACTTCCCAACTTAAAAGAAAGAGCAAAAGCAGGACAATCGTTTTAAAGGATGCTGAGACAAAGCCTCAGCACTGGCCTGTCCAAGGGATGAGGGAGCCAGGGAGCCCACACACCCCAAATGGGCTGAATCGGCAGAGTCTCCACTGCGTTAGCTGTTAGACGAGGGGAGTAACATTCCCTTGGCCAGGTAGGGTTGTTAGGAACCCAGAGTGTCCAGAGGCAAACGAGGAGTTAGGAAAGGCTCCCAGGAGGAGGGAAGGTGGACAAGACGGTAGCCATTGGCCAGGGCCTGGGTAGTATGCCAGGCAGGGATGCCCGGCATGTGTGTTTGCCAGACTGAAGAGGTGGAAGGGGAGTCCTCGGCTACCTGTGCATCAGCCCTGCAGGGAGCACAACCTGGTGTCCCTCGTATCTCAGGACAAACAGTGGAGCCCACTGACTGCTGTCTGTACTGAAATCCTAAAGCGGAAGAGTCTGGCTTTTGTTACTTTCCACAGTGTGAGTGTGTCACCATGTTTATGTAACCAGTCTTCTAAAGCTGGGCCTTGTGGTCTTTTTGTATCTTTAATAATATAAGCCCCACTGTGCTATTGTTGGGTGCCATTTTGCTTGGCAGTTATGGTGCCCTCAGACCCTCCAGCTGACCCGAAGAGAGAAGTGCTTTTTGACAGATGGAGAAACTAAAGTCTGGAGACTTTAGTCTGATAGTGATTTAAAGGCACTCAGCTAGAGAGATGTCAAAGCCAGGATTCTGGCCTCTTCCGTTTCTTCTAAGCAGGCCAGATACCAGGGAGGACGGGAAAAAAGACCACACCTTCAAGTGCACAGTGCTCCTTCCCATAGAGATGTTGGCAAAGGTTGCCCAAGTCTTCCTTCAGGTGTAAACTGGGCACAAACATAAAACCATATGGAACGCAGGGCTGGCCTGATGGTTCCTCATGCCACCTGGCACCCAGAGGAGCTCAATAACTGCAAGTGTAATTAATGCTACTAAGGAAGTTGCCCTCCCTCCCTAGGGCAGCTGGGAGCCAGAGAAAGTGTGAGAGCAGGGCAGGAGCCAGGCAGACTCAACTGACTTCCAGCCTCTCCCTGTCCACAGTGGCCCAGGAGGGGCAGGTGGCCCTCCAGAGAAAGCTGCAGGACATCACGCTGCCAGACTTCAACGAGAACTTCAAGATAAAACACGTCGGCAAAGGGAACTATGAGCTCCACAGGTGGCACTCTGCCTTTTCAGGGGACATGGGGCAGCTGGGCTGGGGCTGAAGCTGGGGGGCGATAAAGCCCCACGATGGACTCAGTGGACTCTTTGGGGCAGACTGTAGGAGGGTTCTCCAAAGAGTTCAAAAAGAAATTCGGGTGAGAACTGAGCCCCTCCAAGGGTAATGGAGACACTATTGGTCGTGTGTCCTGACTCAGTTTCCTTATCTACCCCTCTTGAGGGGTAATACAGATGCAGCCTGGCCACCACCTGACCTTAAACTTGAAACATAGTAGCCCAAGGGTTGGTGCTAAAGTCTGTAGACAGGGGAGCCACTAGGCTTCCTGAAGGGGGTGGCATTTGAGCTGAGTCCTTAAGTGATCACTTGACGGAGCGGCTCATGCTTTGTAAAAACTCCGTGAATTCCTTGTTGAAGGGTGGACAGTGGAGGGAGGGACAGTGGAGGCAGGGCTTGTCACGCCCTTCCTGCTCACTGCTTGCTTCATTCATGTCTTCTGCTTTTACTCAATCTGTCAGCAAATGTCTAATTGAGCGTGTTCTGTGCCAGGTAAGCACAATGGCCTTGGACCTTCCTTTCCCACGGGCGGCCCCTCTTGCTCACCCTCCCTGTCTCTCTGAGACTGCCTCAGTCTTCCCTGAATCTAACATCCCTCCTGGGGCGCTGAGGCTTAAGAAGGAGCTACAATTCCAGGATGTGAGCCTCTTACCCCCACACACATCATGCCAGCCAGGACCCCAGGGTTCCTGGGGTCTCATCTGGCCTGTGTGGCTGTGAGCAATTGTGTCCCTTCCTCTGGTTCTATTTCTCCTCTGTGAAAAGGGAAAAAGAGCAGCACTGACCCCTGGGCCAGGCTAAGTGACAGCAGAGGCACAGTCCTGTGGCCCACGCCTGGTAACGGGGTGTGGGGATTTGCCTCTTCCTGCTGGTATAGTCCCCTTTGCAGCGGAGGAGTACAAAGCCAACAGTGAGGTCCCTGCAGAGGTCCAAACCCTGGCCTGACACCGCCCTCCATCTGTCTCTCCTCCCAGCCTCGACCTCCGCAGCTTCGAGCTGCACGGCACTGCCCTGAAGCCGCTGCCCAGCCATGGCCTCAGTCTCTCCATCGCGGACTCCTCTGTCCACGTGAAGGGCGGGTGGAAGGTGAAAGTGCGCAGGTTCTTGTAAGTTGGCTTCGCCCCCAGGCCCTCAGGCCCACACGTTAGCCCTCATCCATCCTTCTGGGGGTCCCTCACAGCTCATCACAAAGGCCCTCTGATGGACAGAGGGAGCCTCAGCCCAGAGTCTGAGCCTCTCCTTCCTCATCTCCTGTGGGGCAGTGTGGCTTCCTGCAGAAACGGACCCCAAACAGGAACTTTACTTGGGAAGAGGCCTGAGGGGAGGGAATGCACCAAGCAGCCAAACTGATAAATTTGAATTTAATTAACTGAGCTCAGGACCACTTGCATACATACCCCCCATGTGGGGCGGCACCAGGGTTCAGGATGGCCCCAAACTGGCAAGTTACAGAGTTTTTTAAAAAGAGAATAAAAAATAAATAAATAAAATAAAAAGAAGAATCATAGAACATATCCTGTTGGAAGCAGTTTAGCTCAAATCTTTTATTACTTTTCAGTTGACACCTGTATCCTGCTTCTTTTGTTGAGCAGGTTAATTTTTTCCTGTAGATACAGCTCATTCTGCTTTTCTCATGGGACTTTGAGTAATTTTCCATTTTCTTGAATACAGGGCACTAGTTAAATGCAGGGGTTGAGATGGCATCAGTTATGCCAAGCTACAACATTCCCCACTGGTTTTAGTTCATGAATCAAATCCTTGATTCCTGTCATCCTTCTAAAGGTCATCTTTTTTGTCTACATTTTGTAGATCCTCGTATTGGGAACATATAACCATTAATTTAATGGATTGAACTCGGCTTTGCATATAATGCATTAAACAGTTTGTCATGCAGGGGCCAATAGTAAATTTGCATTTTCCTGAATACAGGGCACTAGCTAAATGCAGGGCTTAAGATGGCATCAGTTATGCCAAGCTACAGCAGGGGGAAGGGTGCAGGAAGGAAAGGTCCCAGGTTAACAAGAGGGCAACTGGTGAGCAGCTGGAGCTCTGAGACCCTCTGGATGCTGAGAGGCGACATGAGACACCCCTGCCTCAGCCCCATGACCCCTTCTTCCTCGGCCACCAGTCAGGGCAGCTCAGGGCCCTACCCTCCAGCACACAGACAGTTCTTGGCCCTCCAGAATTTGGAGGAAGTAATAGCTTGCTGTGGCTGATACTATTCCTGGGGCTGGAACAGAAAAGTATGATTCTCCCAGTTCTGGAGCCGGAAGTCCCTGATCAAGGTGTCAGCAGGCCTGGCTTCTTCCAAGGTCTCTCCTTGGCTGGCAGTGGCAGCTGCTCACTGTGTCCCCACTGGTCTCCTTTGCTCTTGAAAGCCTGTCTCTTCCTGTGTCCTGAGCACCTCCTGTGAGGTCTCCAGACAGATTGGATTCAGGCTCAAGCTGACGAACTCTTCTAACATCATCACCTCTTACAAGGGGCTCCTCCAGATACAGTCCAAGCGAGGTCCTGGAGTTGAGGGTTTCAGCACATGGATTTGGGGAGGACACAGCTCAGCCCACAGCAGAAGGGCCAGCCCGTCTCAGCCGGGAGGACACGCTGTGTTTTTTATATTGTGGCTCACCATGCCCAGCATAGCAACCTCCACTGCAGACCAGCACCCAGTGCAAACTGAGGTCTGCTGTAAGTGGGAGACACCAGATTTGAAGTGTATTACAAAATAGAACACAAATTTCATTGATAACATTCTGAAATGATATTACCCAAACTGGTTTTACTTCTTTTCTTTTTGTCTTTCTAAAGTGGCTTCTGGAAAAGTTTTAAATGACCCCTGCAGCTCACATTCTATACCTACTGACAGTGCTACTTTGGAAAAGCTCAGTGATCCGGATGTCACCTTTATGCCCATTCATTCTGTTCCCATAAAAGACTTGTGCCACACTTTTCTGCACTAGTTTTGTTGCTGAATTATTTTAATGATCTCTTTATATGAACATAGGAAGATCTGCCTCATTCTTTTTTATTTTACTTTCTTAGATGCATTTTTATTGAGATGCAATTTACCTGACATAATACCGGTCATTTAAAAAGATACAATTCAGCCCATTCACAATGCTGTGCAACCAGCACCTATATCTAGTGCAAAAACATTTCATCACCCCGGGAAAAATCTCCACACCCACTAGACAGCTCTTCCCATTTCCCTACTCTCAGCCCCAGGCAACTTGCTTGGATTCTATCTCCAGGATCTACCTACTCTGCATATGTCACATGAGTCATACAGTATGTGACACACTGTCCTCTTTCTCTTAGCATGCTTTCGAGGTTCACTCACTTTAGCATTAGCACACTGTAAACAAAGGCGGGCTTTGTTTCTGTGGAAGGATGAAGTTGATCTCTTTATGAATGTGCCACATTCTGCCCTGCTGTTTTTTAAAGGCTGCATAGCAGAGATGTCCACAACCTGGCACTACCAGAAGACTTTTTAGTTTGAATTTTCATTTTTTCCATATTTGCCATGATGCTTTAGTGAACTGAGCTATCCTCACACATATATCTGGGCATAAGGGTCACAGGATAAAAGCTTAGGAGAGAAATTGCCAGGACAAAGAGATGTGTGCTGAAATTCACCACTGGTCTGTGTTTCAGAAAATGGTACCAGTGTGGTCTCCCAGTGTGATATCTGGAATATATGCTTCCCCACATCTTCACCAACACTGAGCACTCAGGCTTCGGAAGTTTCTTAGATCTTGTATATGAAAACTGGCATGATTGTTAAGCTCTTTTTCATATGTTTATTTGTCATTGAACTTGCTTCCCTTAGCTTTGGGTTTTTTAAAGTTTCTTTTGGATTTAGCCTTTTCCTAATTATTTGTTCTTTGTATAGAAAGAAAATTAGCTCTCTGGCTGTCTCATGGTGCACTTTTTGTACTGTGCATATTGCAGTTCTTGTTCACTAAAGTTTTAAGTTTCAGTGCCTGCAAGTTTACCAGCCATTTCCTTTATGACTTAAGAGCTTGAATCTTGCTAGAAATGCCTCTGCCTATCCCTGACTTTAAATACTCACCCCAGTCTTCCAGATCTCTTATTTGTTATCAAATATTTTTTAACTTGTTGGTAACTCTCAAGTTTTTGCTCAGTCAATCCCACTTATTTTGAGGTAAGAATTGAACTTCCTAAACTTCTTCAATCTTCTCTAGAAAATTACAAGGCTCCATTGACCTGAAGGTCAAGGGTATCACCATTACCATCAACCTTATGCTGGGCAGCGAGCCCTCGGGGAGGCCCACAGTCACTACCTCCAGCTGCAACAGCTACATCCGGGAAGTGGAGGTGGACCTATCAGGGGGTCTTGGGTGAGTCACCATGGGGACACCGCCAGCTGGGCTGCTGGTGTACCCCAGACCCGTCAAGTCCTCAGCCTGCTCTGATCAGTGTAAGGGTCCAGGTGGGATGCATGGGTGCTCCACAGGCAATTGGAGATCATTCCTTGGGGCCCCTGCTGGAAGGAACACATGCAGACTCAAGCCAGGAGTATGACTGTGTCATCCCACAGAAAAGAAATAACTTTAGGAATCTACCTTGGTCAGGCAAATAAAAATAAGCTGTTAGAGAAACAAAGATTTTGGCTAAAGAAGAGTTTGTAAAAAAATACCCAAGTCCCTGGTCAAATTACTTCATCTAAGTCTCAGGTTTTTTTACTAGAAAAAAACGTGGATAAGTGAGCCGCTTACTCTCAGACTTTAATCAGTGTATACCTGATGGCTGGGAAGCCACATGACTGAGCCAGAGCGGGTGGGTGTGCAGGACTCTGGGGGCTGGGATGGGCCTGGCTCTCCCCGCTGTGCCCATGTGCAGTTACAGGTGGGTGACTATGATTCCTAACCAGGTGGCTGGTGAATATGTTCCACGACAAAATCGAGGCCAAATTCCGAAGCACATTGGAGAAAAAGGTGAGAAGATCTAGACAGCCTCACACCCCCTGGGCCAGCCAAGGTCTGTCCTCACAGCCATCCCCAGGAGAGGGGGAAGGGAGGTGATTCTGGTATACTTGGGCCACAGCCCAGAGGACAAATCAAACTCCAGGTGAATCCAGAGAGAAAAAAAGTAAATGTTCAGCCAGTGGTAAAACAGTGTTACAGGGAAGAGAGAGACCCTAACCCTAACGCTAACCCTGACCCTGACCCTAACCCTAACCCTAATGCTAACCCTAACCCTGACCCTAACCCTAACCCTAATGCTAACCCTAACCCTGACCCTGACCCTAACCCTAACCCTGACCCTGACCCTAACCCTAACGTTGACCCTGACCCTGACCCCGACCCTGACCCTGACCCTAACCCTAACATAGCCCCACGTTGCCTTACATTCCCAAAACCTGAAAGGAAGTCCTCTCTCAGTGACCTGCTGAGCAGCCAGGCAGGTCACTCCCACAAGCGCAGGCTAGTGAGCACTTGCCTTCCATTGGGAGGCAGAAACTGTGTGTAGCTAGACAACTGTTTAATTAAAACAAAAATGCCTCATGCTAATTTCCAGTTTCTCCCAACATTCTTTCATCCCCAAACCCCACTTCCAAAATATTACACTCAGAGCTGTTCTGTAACCAATCTGTGTGAGAAGAAAAACAGTGATGGAAGAAGAAAGGCGAAAACCCACATCTTCCTCCTCTTTTCCTCTCCTCCTCCCTGCCTTCTCCCTCAACCTCTAGTCTGACCTGTAGCTCCCTCTCGTGGTAGAAGCAGGAATAGCATGCAGAACCCACACCATAGCAAGCTGCACTCTCTTCTGGTTCTGAAATCTAAGTGAATTTGAGAAACAGGGCAGCTTCTTCCTTAACACCTTGTTGCCATATTGCTATGAAGATTTACAGTCTCATTTTTATTATGGTAATAATAATGATTAGTAATATTATATCATAATAGTAACACATTGCAATTAGTCATCACAATAGTAAAGTACTGTAAGAATTACTGTGTTGGTAGCTGGGCATGGTGGCATACACCTGTGACCCCAGCACTTGGGAGGCTGGGGCAGGAGGATTGCCATGAGTTCAAGGCCAGCCTGGGCTACATAGTGAGTTCAAGCATGGTCAGAACAACAAGATCTTATCTCAAAAAAAATTATTGATTTGGCAAATTAATGAAGAACATATCACTGCAACCTTATTTATAAAACAGCAGGTGTTATTCCTTGAGCCTGTGCTTCAGCCAGGATCAATGAGCCAAGCCTTTTATACTCACAGCCCCATCATACCCAGACCTCAACCTTTGAAGCAAGTGCGGTGCTCCACATCTGCCTGAGGAGGCTCAGAGCAGGGAGGTAACTTTCCCAGTGTTGCCTGGCTATGAGAGGCCAGCCCAGCATTAAGCCTTCCTCGAAAGGGGTCCAGTCCCCCTTTGGCAGAGTCTCTGTGCCAAAAGCCTTGGAAGGGCTGGGTGTCTTGGGAGAGTTGGGAGAGATCCTGTTATCGGAATCTCTTGGCTATGCCAAAATATTATAGGGTAGCTCCCTCTAAAAGTGGCTCACCCAGGAAATGTTACCAGGCTCTGGCTTGTTCTTCTCCTTCTGGAGTTAGATTACAGGTTCTTTACATCTTGAACAAAGAACTGAATGAAACAAGCAAAAACAGGGTTTATTTGCAAAAACAAAGTTTATTTGAAAAGGTAAAAGAGAAGAGTGGGAGAGAAACTGGCTCTGCAGAGTGAGCCTGGCAGAGTATGAGGGAAAAGCAAGATCAGAGAACACCTGGGGGAAGCAGGGAGGGTTCTCATGGGGAAAGCCATGCTAGATAAACAAGCTCTTCTTGGAGTCTGTGTCCTTTTATGTGATCCAAATCTCAAGGAAACCTGCAAGAAATTCTACACTGCGGTCCTGAGACAGGGTGCTGCCATCCAGTACTTCAGGCTGACATCAGGTCCTGGCCATCCTATTGAAAACCTGCTGGAGTTTTGAGAAAAGGCCACATGCAGGTTTTTAGAGACTGTTCTGGGCATGTTTCCAGGATCTTGCAACTAACAGGTCAGGCCTGTTTCCCCAGCCAGCTTTGCACCCCATCTCCAATCCCCTGTGTCTGTCGTGGTCGGTCTTCAGGGTCTCTCTCTCCTAGGCTGCCTTCTGAAATCCTGGTGCGGGACCTCACTAATCCCCACTCAGGCTGGGGTGTGTTTTCTACACCAGAGGCCTAAGCATAGCTGCTCTCTGTAGGTAAATACTCCAGATTCGTTCTCCTCTCCCCAAGTCACTGGGAAGCACTTGGCCTTGCCACTGTATCCTGTAGCAAGGGACCGCTGAACTGACAGATACTGTGAAGGCACAAGACCAGGAGAGACTGAACAGGATTTGACACCATCCTTGTTCAACTCTGCACCCCTCAAAAACTCTACCCCTGCTCCCCCAGGAGACCCTCCTGTGCACCTGGGACCAAATCCCCTAGGTCCCCCTTCCCCAAGCAAAATTCCCCAAAGGAGTTCAGGGACATTGGGGTGGTCTGATGGGTTGTTGTCTGGAGGAAGACCCAGGGAACGATCCTCAGGGGGCCCGAGAGAGCTCTCCTCGAAATCCTCTGCGAATGCTCCTCCCCACCCTTTTCTTTGCTCTCTGGCAGTTTCTCGCTGTCATCCTCCTCTCCCAGACCACTGGGAAGCTGCAGAGGGAGGTAGATACAGGCCCTCACCGCCCAGTCCTGGCACCACCTCCCCTCCACCCGGTGCCTGGCTGATGCCTACTCACCCCTAAGATTGCCCTTGAAGTGTGTCCTATTCTGCAAAGCCACCTACAGTTCTGTCCTAGGCCAGTACCGGGAGGTGTTGCAATCAGTGACAATCAGTTAATTAAAAAGTTAAAGTGAGAGCTGTCTCATATTCACATTTATATGCTAACCCAAGTGCTTTAAGACAAAGTAAGTGAAAGTTCATTTGCCATCTTTTGGTAAAGGACACAGAACTACTCTCCAAAACGGCCCTATGCCTTTCTTGCCTATAACATTGAACTGCCACAAATTCCATTCTTTAGCCATGAAGAGAATTTCATGCCACTTGCAAAAGACTTCTAGAGTTTTACATTTTTTCTCCTAAGCTTTTCTGTTGTCCAAATTTAACTGTATTGTTTAGCATCTCACTTTTCTGGAGTATTTATCTTTGATTTTCTTAGAAACACCTCTTTTCTCAGTTATATTTCATTGGTTTACACAATTAACAATCCAAATGATCACAATGGCAAATACAGCAAACAGGTTTGGAAACGTATATTTCCTTCTCACAAGAAGCATACGGGGCTGGAGATATATAGCTCAGCAGCACAGTGCCTTCCTGGCAAGCATGAGGTCCTGAGTTTGATTCCCAGGCCCAAAAAAGAAAAAAAAGATATACAGCCATGCAGCTCAGTGGGTGCCAATAAATATTATGTAAGTAGCTAATGGATGTGAGCATTTGGTTCCCCGTGGTTCATTGTAAATACAGCTAACCTGTTCAGTGGTGCCCATTATGGAGCATGCTTCATGTGTGTGACTGTTTCTAGGTACTATTTAGTCCTGCAGTTGCTCTCTGACTTCTGAGATGCCAGAGCTTCCCAAAGACAATGTTTTTAGTGGGGTAGCTTCCTGTGTTGTCCCAGCCTGTGCCACTTCACCTAGCTCAGATGCCCAGTGTTGGGATAGACTCTGAAAGTCTAGTGGACTCCACACAGAGGCCTCTTTAAAATCATTTCTGTTTCCTTGGCACCTGCCATGTGATAAGCACTTGCAAATGCTTCTAGAATCAGTGATCACTGAGACAACGGGTGAAATGTCCCTAACGTGATTATCAGAGAACCAGACGCAAGCTGAGAGTCTCATTCTGCCTTTCTCTCCTCATTCTGCACCGCCCCCCCCCAGATTTGTGAAATAATCAACAAATCAGTGGCCTCCGACCTTCAACCTTATCTCCAAACGCTGCCAGGTAAGCTACCAACCCATCCAGGGACACGTCAGTTTCATTAATTTTTATGCCAGTATATTATAAAACAGTAAGTGAGACAGACATATAGAATGTAACAATTTGAAAATCCATTTTGGGGGGACTGGGAATATAGTTTAGTGGTATAACAGTTGCCTGACACATATGAGGACCTCTAGCTCGATAATCTCTTCTCCCCAAATTTCCAGGAGGTAAACTCTCTTGAAGGTGTGTATTTTCTTTGCATATACAAATATAAATCTACATAAGCATATGGCTATCCTGCTTGTATGTATTATGTTTATTCATGAATATACGCATAATTCTGAATAAATGTCTATTAGTACACACAGAGCCTTCTAGATCAGCACACTGATCGTGCAGTCATTTTAGAAAACTTTTATTGAATTCATGTACTCATGAAGAAAAGTACTCAAATTGTAAGTGTGCACCTGCACACCTGCCAGCCCATGGTACTGGAGGGCAGGATCCAGGTCCTAGGACTTGCCTGGCCACCCCGATTATTTGGCTTGGCAAGAAAGGCTGAAGGGGTGTGTGTGTGTGTGTGTGTGTGTGTGTGTGTGTGTGTGTACATGTTTGTCTGAAAACTGCTTAGGTCCCAGGCTGAGCCACTGCTAATCTCCCAAGAGGGACAGGAGAAGCAGTGTTGTCCTTTCTTGGAGACGCAGTTCTATGTCCCAGGCCTGGGCAGGGGCGTGGGTCCTTGGGCAGAAGGTAGAGGGCTCTGCATGAGTTGGCCAGAGCCCTTGCTGCTTCTCCATCAGCTGAACGTCATGTCTGGCCCCTAATCTTGTCCCTGCCCTGCTTCTCAGTCACAGCGAAAATCGACAACTTCTTGGATGTTGACTACAGTTTAGTGGAAGCCCCTCGGGCAACAGCCCAGATGCTGGATGTGATGTTTAAGGTGAGGGCTCTGGAGTGCGGCCATGCCAGGGTCGGCTCACTCCTGGGCCACCTGTCCCAGAACTTTGGATCTGTGCTCATCTTCTCTCTGGTTTCTGCTATGTCTAGGGCAGGGCGCTATGGAGCAGGGAGGGAGCATTCCCAGAGCCTGGAGGTGGGCAGGTGTCTCACCACCTTCAGGCCTTAGAACTGCCCCTCCTCCTTCCCTGCTAGCTGTGTGCGCCGCAGGGAGGTCAGTCACAGCTGGCCCGGGGGATGGAGGGGCAGGCCAGACTGTCTTGTGGCTTCATGAGCTTCTAGGGGCTGTGCAATTAGAGCCACTCCAGCCCCAAGGAAACTTCTCGAAGGGAAGAGCTGCAGGCTGTGGCTTCTGCCAGGGCCCTCAACAGCAACACAGCAGCCACCCAGCTAGGAGGTCCAGCCCTGCAACAGACAGAAAAGATCAACTGGACCCTGTTTCTCTCTCCAGGGTGAAATTTTCTATCACGATCACCGCTCCCCGCTCCCTCTTCTTCCTCCTGTCTTGAGCCTTCCGGAAGATCACAGCCGGATGGTCTACTTCGCCATCTCCGATTACACCTTCAACACCGCCAGCCTGGTTTACTACCAGGCCGGGTACATGAACTTCTCCTTCACAGATGACACGGTGAGGACGGAGCAGAATGGTGCTCTCCATAACGACGTGACTGACCCTCCTTTCCCACCCCTGTTTACAGCTGCAGAACAGTGAGGTAACCCAGGGGGAGAGCCAGCACCGAGGAAAACAGGAGCTGCACAACCACCCTTTATTGCTTTGGCTGCCAACAAGCTTGAAGTGGAAATTCTTTTTCCTGCATAAGGACTACTGCAAGCAGTTTGCTTGTCTGTTTTTTACTTTTCTCTTAGTTTAGATCTGTTTTTCTAAAATACCATTTAGAAATCCTCTTATCTTGATTTGTGGAGGTTTATGAAGAATGTTTTAGTGAATGAGGCTAGATAATAGATGCATAAACTTACAAAGAAAAGAAAATAAAGGCTAAATGAACAGTAAAGTACAATTATGAAGACACTGGGCCCCTTCATCGATTTTTGAAAAATCATGCAAGTGGGAGATTCCTTGTAGCCAAAGCAAAAAAGGTGCAGGATTTGTGCTTTGTAGTGAGAAGGGACAAAGTGTTTTCCTAACACCAGGTTCTCAAACAACTGTCTGCATTGGGACTTTGTGCCCGGGACATTCGCATCTTTAGTGTGTATCCAATTTCTTCAGTAGTTCTGGGGTTCAAAAGGCTGCTTCTTACAGCACTTTGTGAAAATCAAGGCCTCATGAACAATGTCAGGATGAGGGGCACACGGTGTGATCCTCCTGTATTAATCAGGAACCGTCTGGCGCGTGGATGAGGGGTCCTTTGTCCTACAGATTCCCACCCTCCCCTCCCCCCCTTACACACACACACACACACACACACACACACACACATACACTTGTAGTCGTATTTTTGCATGAAGAGGTGAGACACTGAGGCTTTTCTTTTAGGAAGCATCTTTATTTGTGCTGGCACAGGCTCAGTGGAGTAATGCTCAAAATGCTGAGCCCTGATCATGGCAGAGCTTTGCTTTTTATCCAGTTTTTGTGACTTTGTCTCTCTTACATGGTGACACACTGATGTGTGACAGCCCAGTTGGGTATAACCTATGTTACAGAGCCTGCCGGAACTACATATGCCTATCTAGGTACTAACTGTGCCACGTTGCCTTTTTTTGGTCCTGAGAAGGCCTTACAGCGTTCCTTTGGGAGTGGCCCTGCCACGCTTTTATCTGTTATGTTGATGCTCACACACCACCAATTGCACCATGTACCAGGCCCTGCCTGAAGGTGGGGACTGTTATAATCCAACTCTACAGAGAGGAGAGGAACACAGGCCCAAGGTCACACAGGCAGGAGCCTCCACCAGTTCTTTGCCTTTATAAATCTCACCCTCGAAGACCCTCTGAGTGAGATGCATGTGTTACCTGTAATCCCAGGAGCCTCAGGAGACTTGTGTGCTCAGCCTGGGATGAATCCAAGGACATCTCTTCACCCCTGAATTACCCCCTTTCAGTGAGAATTAGCCATCCTCATCATCCCCCACCTGGCCCACTCTTTTCCAGTATGTGCTCCCTAAAAGGTCTTTATGCCTCTTTGTTGCAGATTCCACCCGACTCTCCCTTCCGACTGACCACCAGTTCTTTCCGAGCCTTCGCTCCCCGGGTAAGATGCTGTCAGCTTCCCATGGGCACAGACTGAGCTCCTCAGACTGCCAAGCTTTCTCCAAACCTGTGTGTCCCTCTCTGCTTCACCAAGAGACAGAAGGCCAGCAAGGAGGCCCCAGCAAGGCCGGGGAGCCACAGGTCTCAGGCTTTCATCAAAGACCAAGTAGCAGAGGCCTGAGTGCCATGTATAATGGGGCCATGAAGGTTGTCCAGTGTTCTAAATATTTTTTTTTTATGCTAAGCATCCTAAAGAATGCTGACATGTTTCCTAAAGGGCACCCCAGTTAATATCATCTAACAGAGTGCTTTAAAAATCATTTTTTGGTTTTTGGGGAGTTTTTGTTGTGTTGTGTTTTGTTTTGTTTTTTGGTGCCAGGGATCAAATTCCTCCAATCTCAGCAATGGTTTGGCAATATCTGCCAAAAGCCCAGCATGGTGGCACGTGCCTATAATTCCAGCACTCAGGAGGCTGAGGCAAGAGTCAGCCTGGGTTACACAGTGAGCTCAAGGATAGTCTGAACCTTATAATGAGATCCTGTCTGAAAAAAACAAAAACCTGCCTAAAGCTTCTTTAATGCTCTGTTCTTTGACCCAGACACTCTACCTCTAGGAATGCTCTTCTCAAAGTAATAGTCAAGGCACTCAAGGGAGTGGTCAAAGTAATGGCCAAACGCTGGGGACATTATACCTTGTAGAGCTCGATCAATTGAAGAAGCACTGTGTACCATGCAATGCAAGGGAGATATGACCCGTGGGGTGGTGACTCTGCATGGATGGATGTCCCGTATTCGTTAAGAGAAAAAGGCACAGAGCATTTTGTGGGGAATAAAATCAACCAAAAGGCCTTCTCAGCTTTATGTGACTTCCTTAAGACTCTGCAGACTTACTGATTTTCTTGTCTTGACAGAGTCTCTTACTTCTGTTCCTAGATAGCCAGGCTGTACCCCAAGATGAACTTGGAGCTCCGAGGAGGAGTGGTCTCTGCCCCACTCCTGAAACTGAGTCCAGGGAATCTGTCCGTGACCCTTCAGATAGAGATTGAGGGCTTTGTGCTCCTGCCTGATTCTGTCAAGAAGTCTGTCTTCCAGCTTGATGTGGTAAGGTTCAGAGCCTTTGCAAATGCTGTTCCCCTCTCTGCGTGCTTTTCTACCCACTCACCACCTGGCTGATTCCTTTGGGTCTCAACTGATATATTACTGCCCTAAAGAGCCTCTTCTATCTTCTTGCCATTTTGTTGTTGTTGCAATTTTTCCATTATTTTTCCTCACAGGGTTTGTTACCAAGTTATTTAGTAAGCAGCTATTTGCAGGTTTATTTATTTAATGTTTGTATCTCCCTTTGAATCAGGGCTATTGTGAGGAGAAGGGTATGTGGATGAGTCTTTGTTACCTTCTCTCTGGTCTGCATCAATAGCTGACCCTGGAAAACTACACTTCCCAGGCTCCCTTGCACTCTGATTTCCAACCAGGACTACCAAGGGAAGCAGGGTCAGGAAAATGGAGGTTGAGAGGAAGGAAGAAGCCAGAATATTATTCCTCTTGCTTTGCCTTGAGCAAGAGACTCCGTTGGGACCACGCATCCTCCAGGGTGGCTGTCAGGATCCCAACCCCACCTTCTGTTCCTAAGTCTGGGGTGCAAATTCAACAAAATTGTTTGTTTGTTTCTCACAATTCTATCATTTGTATAACCAATTGCTCACATGAAATTGCCTCCCCATTCAATATTGAGAATGTTTTTTTGATGGACCCAATCTAACAGAAAAGGGATTCTGAGGCCTCCTGGTCCCTGCTCACTAGATGGAGGACTTTGCTTTTTTGTTTTACCCTTGAAATTCAGCAAGTCAAACTCTGAAAGAGGGCCATTCCTCTGAGAGAGTATATCTAAATTTGATAGTGCTGTTATTGTTATAAAAATTGGTTTTATTGTTCATGTATTTTTAAATAAAATACATCTTGTTACTGTTATGACTACAGCTGAATCTGGGCCCTGAGAGCTACTAATGGCTTTTTCTAGTGTTTTCCCAGCATAGGTACTTTGCCTTTTCTTGGTAATCTGTTCAAAGTTTCACAGTTACCAGTATGAGCAATTTCAAGTAAAAATGTTCAAGGCCAAGTTCAAACATTTATTGAATAGCTCAGGAATCTACACTCTGCTGGGCAAATTTTCTCCTTCAATTCACTGAGGCATTTGTTGAGAGCAGACAATCCCCCTGTTTTGTCATCATTTACATCTCTCCTCTTCCACTGGCTTTTCCAGGTCACTAATGTATCCGCCACACTGACCTTCAACGCCAGCAGGATCACAGGGACCCTGGACCCTAGGAAGTAAGCCGGCTTTCTGCCCACACTGGGGTGCTCTGCGAGGTCCTACCTGGACACTATAGGTGCTTTCCTGAAGCTGGGAATGGGGAGGAGGATTTGATGTGGTCCTCGCACTGTTAAGGCCCTGCATTTGAGAATATCACTCCAATTGACCCAATCCTATTGTCCAGTTGGCCTGCCCCCCAACAAGTTCCAAATTTCTAAATAATATTGCTTTTCCTTAATTTACAAATTTCGGAGATCAATATTAACTACCTTTGTTGTGGGAAAATTCCCAAGCCAAACCGAAAGGAAGACTGCACTAAGGAATACGAAGGCAGCCTTTAATCTTTACACCTGCGGACTGTTGTGGGATAATTCCTCAGAGGCAACAGCACTGAGTTTACAGAGAGCTTGGTTTGTATAGAATTTAGAAGTGGTTGGTACTAAGCTAGTGACAAAAATATTACATAATTGGTTACATGCACTGGGTCACATATTATCAGGCAGGCTAGCCTTGAACAGATTTGTTGAAACAAAGGACATGTTCATCATAATACAGAAGCATTCCTGGAACAAGGGGAGGGAGCCCTTCCAGGGTGAGCATGGTTAATGGTGTCCTTTATAGCCCAGGGTGCCTTAAGGCATAGACAATTACTCTGACTCAGTGTTTACCAGAGGTGTGCAGCTGGGCTTTAGACACAGGCAAGGTCAACTGAATTCAGGAGCAGAAACTTGGTCAGAGACCTCTAATTTGTATCATGAAATGCCGATAACTTTGCTGTTATATAAATGTGATCTTGCGCTATAAGTGAGCCCCAACACCTGAAATGATGAAGATTGAGCTCCTTTTACGCCCCTCGCCTCCCCTCTGTCAGTCTCCCCAATATTGCTGTGCTTGGCTTATAGCTAACCATTTATTTCACCGTAGCCTCCTCCTCCTCCTCAGGTCACTGCTGTCTCCTTCTGAGGAGGAGCCCCTTTGCTTAACCTCCGCATGGTATAATGCCCACATCTATGCGTCTTCTCTAATTCTTTACAGGTTACATGTGGAACTGAAAGAATCCAAAGTAGGCATGTTCAATGTAAGTTTTGCTTGGTTTTACTTATGATGTGATTAAAATACTAATTAATTTACAGTATTTCCTAAGCAATGGCTGTGGCACCTATATAGGAAATAGAAAAAGAGAAGAATATATCTCATCTCTGCCCCAGGGAAGTATACAACTGCTTGAGTACATAAGGCATAGTGCCAAGAATAGTTATATTCCAACATACATTAATATATGGCTAATTATTACACATAATTCTTTTAACTGAAAGGAAAGACAGGCAACTCAATTGTCTTAAGCACCGATGAAGTATTCATAGGCTCATATAACTAAAAAACAACCAAAAAACCTCCTAAGGCTAAGGATTTCAGGCCTGGTTGGATCCAGGTGCTCAAATTGGCATATCCAGAATCTCCCCCCACTACACCTTCATGGGTTTTAGCTTCATCCTCAGGAAGACTCTGTAGTAAACCCCAGGGTTTCTTGTAGTTTCATTTTCTTAAGAAAAATAATACAAAATGAAAAAATTCCCTCTGCTAGCTCTCATGCTCAGGGGCCTATTTGATTGTTTGCTTATTGGAGAAATGGGAAATGAATTGAACTCAGGGCCTTCATACTGAGCTGATCCCCAGCCCTTCTTTTCTTCTGAGACATGGTCTTGCTAATTGCTCAGGCTGGACTTGAACTTGTAATCCATCTGTCTTAAATTCCTTGAGCGCTGACATTACCGCTGTGTGCCCACCCAGCTAGGTGCCCACACACCAGCTAAGTGCCCATTCTGAAGCAACAAACTGACCAAAAGTTGAATGAGACCAACAGCCAACCATGGCTTTTGTGTACACTCCTGGAGCCAGGATTCGCAGTCAGCTACCCAAAACACAGGGACTCTGATAGGAAAGGAGGATTCCAGGGGGAGAGAGGGTCTGTGTTATTAAAACAAGAGGAACTGAGCTAGGGACTTAGCTCAGCGGCATAAGCGCCTGACTTGCAAGTGTGCGGTCGTGAGTTCGATCCCTAGTACCAAAAAAAAAAAAAAAAACAAGAGGAACTGAAAGCTGGGAAGGCAAAACCAGGGAGTGATTCCCACAAGGAGGACAAAGTGATGAAGTCAATGGCTCCATATGAAAGGAAGAAAAGGAATGGGCAGATGGGGGTGGCACTGAAATTGTGAAGAGGAGCTTTCTAGAAAGGGGTGGGTGGCAGCTGCTTCTCCCAGGAAGAGAGAACGGACTTGGACTCAAGGTCACGTTCACCATTCACGACAGCCTTCTCTGAGCACCACCCACCACCGCCACCCTTTCTGTGAGAAGGGAGAATGACACCGTGCAGTGAAGTGAATAATGACACCCTAGTATCATATCTGGGCTCGTCATATAAAGCTCATCTAGCAAAACAATCATGGGCACATTTACAAAGCCATCCACATGAAATGGGAAAAACAGCAATAATCAACTCAGAAAATATCAGATTCAAATCCTGATCTTGCTGTCCAGCCTGTAAGTCATTTTATTCTGCAGGCCTCAGTTTCCTTTCTGTGAAATGAAGACATTAATATGAACTTCATAGCCAGGTGTGCTGGCCCACCCCTGTAGTCTCAGCTACGTGGGAGGCTGGAAGAGGAGAATCAAAAGTCAAGGCCAACCAAGGGCTATACAGCAAGACATTGCTTCAAAAATAAATTGTTTAAAAGGACTGGGAATATAGCTCAGTGCCAGAGCGCTTACCTCACACACACAAAATTCTATGTTCAATTCCCAGAACCTCAACAATGAAAAAGGAAAAAAACTTCTCTATGAGTTTATTATGAGACTCAGAGCCCTTTGCCAGGTTTATAGCAAACTTTAAAACTTGAGTTTTATAATTTTTGCAGAGACGCCCATTTCATTCACTTAATTTTTTAAAAATTACACAAGTAATCAGGAACATATCTCATTGTTTAAAAAAATTAAGTGCTAAAGATATGAAGGCCAAGTTGACCGATGATATTCTTCCTAAAGATAATTGGGCATGTGGCCTTTCAAAACAATTCTATTCGCTTGCAGACATGTAAATGTGCATCTCAAATTACTTTTAATTTATAAATAGTAGCAAGATATCGGTGCCTATCTGCAATCAGCTCTTTTCAAGACTTTGCCAAGTCAGCGGGGACAGAGGATCCCGCCCCCGGGGGGTGGTCCTGTGGCTGTTAATTGAGGGCATTGCGACCTGCGTGGTCACAGTGTACTTCTCCTGTTCTCCACCAGGTGGACCTGCTGGAAGGCTTCCTCAACTACTTCATGCTCCACAGTGTCTACCCGGAGGTCAATGGTAAGAATCAACGTGGATTTTCCAAGTCAAAAGTGGCCGCTGCTGTTTGGGAGAAAGAAAATTTGGGAACCAGGGCTCTCTTGAGGGCTGTGTGACTTTGGCCAAGTCACTTCTCTGACTCCAGTAGCCCCCTTGTGAGATGGGATGGTGAAGTTGGCCTCAGGGTGTGTCTGTGTGTGTGTGGGGGGGGGGGTTAATGGAAGAAGGGGATCTGGGCGCAGGGCGACCTCCTCATAAGGGGAAAGAGACTCAGGCAAGTGCCCCTCACACCCTGAAGTGCAGGGGAAGGACTGAGGACAGGGTTAGTACTGGGAGCATACGGCAGCCGCCTTTAGTTCACATTTCCCAGTCCATTGCCTGACAGTTTGGGAGAAAAATAAAGCGTAAGAGTCCCCACCCCGTTTCCATGGTGTGCTGCTTTGTTTTGCTGAAACAGAAAGCAGGGTGGGGTGGAGGCCAGAGGGTAGACACCCACCTGCTCCTCACCGTGTGCGTCCCTGCCCCATCCCGTGGCAGGCACCGTGGCTCATGACTTAGGCTCCCGCGCCAGTCTTGCTAGGCTCAAATCCCAGTTCTGCCACTTTCTAGTTGTGTGATCTAAGACCCGTTACTTGGCAACTCTGTGCTTTGGTTTCCTGATCTGTAAAAATGTAATAATAATCATGCCAACTCACAGTCTTTGGAGGGAATGTGCTGTGTATAGAATTTGCAAAAAGCGTGATTCTTTGATGAAAATTTGTCTGTAATTGTTGTTTATCAATGCATCTCTCTCAATGTTGTCTTGCAGAGAAACTAGCCCAAGGTTTCCCTCTCCCTCTGCTGAAGCGTATTCAGCTCTATGACCTCATTCTCCAGATCCACAAGGTCAGTGGGTTCAGGGGGGCTTGGAGGATTTGGGGTGATGGGGACATTAAGACAAGCTCATTTTCAAAATATGTACTAACTTGCCAGCAGGTTAGGTTCTGAAAGCCATTGTTAAATTTTAATAATTATTTCTGAATTATAAAGTGGAAGAGCTTTATTATATATTTATTGTGCCACCCATTTTAAACAAGTGCCACAACCCCACACATACTTTTAAAAATACAGTTTGTATTTTTGGGTACTTCTTTGCAGTCCCCCCACACTTTTCTTAATAGTTTTGTTTTGGTTTGGTTTTTGTACACTTCCATGCTTATGCCGTTTGCCTTACACGCACACACACACACACACACACACACACACATTTTTATTTTAATATCACCCCTCGATTTGTCTCCTAGCACTAGATAGCTGTACACGGTTCCATGCAGCAGATGGATCATAACTGACTTAACTATTTTAACACCAAGAAATAGGCCTGATTCTTCACTCTCCTAAGCACTGTTCTGACCAAGGGTTTTGTGGTCCATCTGTGCCACCATTTCAGACATTTCAGACACTTCTTGAGCAGTGTCTCCCAGGTGAGACAACTAGGTTGGCAGAGGAGTCATTGTCACAGGACATGCTGTGCTGTGCTTGGCCGATATCCACAAAATCATCGCTGTTATAGGGAATGAATGGCTGGGGAGTGGGGGGCACATAGAGGCACTAGTCAGGTATTAGCATTATGTTTGGAAAAACAAGCATTCGGAGCTCTTTTGGGCTTCAAGATACTAAAGAGTCAACTACTGATGAGTGCTTACAAGGGCAGTCAGACAAATCATTATTCAAAGAGAAGACTGAGCAACAGTGCACACACACAGTTGGCTCCTTCCTGGGTTTTGGTGAAGGCAAGAGGCCAATAATGAAAGCTTATAGCTCCATGTCTGGCATGTGGGAAGATTTATTACGTATTATCACATTCATTATAATTTGAAGGTCAATTCCACCCATTGTCTGGCCACCAAAAACAAGGGTTGGATCAGTGGCTGTGGACAGAATTGGATTTTCCTCTGAGTTCCAACTTCCTGCCCTGCTGCGTGATGGAAGTTTAAGAGAGTAAACCCCAGAAGCTCACAATTTTTCGTTCTTCACCAAGGGCAGAAAATTTAGATGACACAAAGGACATTTATGAGATCTGCTGGAAAGCTATAGCTTGGAAAATGACAGATAGATTGCTGCCTTGGAGAAGGTAGCTGGCATAAGCTGTGCTTTGAGGAGACCTTGGGGACAGGATCACAATGGCGATTTGTGCACTGACCTGGTTCCTGGCAGAGCTTGCATTTCCCAAGGGTGTGGGCTCCCTTTATAATCAAGGTGCATCTTTCTGAAGTAGAGGATGCTCGTCACCATCCTGAGTTGTCTCGTTTTTCCTAGGACTTCCTATTCGTGGGTGCCAATGTCCAGTATGTGAGAGTTTGAGGGCAAGAAGAAAGAGGGTTCTTGGAGGCCACAGCTGGATCTGTACATTCCTGATGTGCTGCTCATCCCTGGAGGTTCTCAGATGACAGAGATAAGGACTCTTCCTTTCTCAGCTCTGGGGATGAGGTCTGCCTGGCCCCTGCCCTATACACCTCCACATTCAGCTCTCTGATACCCCAGACTTCACATTCTGCTTTACCACGGACTGGCTTCCCCCAGCTGACCTGTGACATCTTTAAGGGTGCCCTGTATTGTTTTATTCACTATCTGATCTCCATGTCTAGCCAAGTGCTAGCAGTAGGTCCTTAATAAATATTTATGGAATGACTTGGTGAAGCAATCACTGGTGATCCAACTGACCCTCCTTACAGCTCACCCTCCTCAGGCTTCGAGGGTCTTTGGCTGATCCACTCCAACTGTGGTCTTTAAGGCTAGACCTTGACCATCATGGGTTCCTCCCGTGTGAGGCACTGTAAGGCTCAGCATGGTACCCATCGTGGCTCTGGGCAGTGCTTCCTTTCAATGCTGACTTCCGCGTTTTTCCAAACCCCAAACCAAACAGTCTGCTTTTTGCGCATGCGCCACTTCCCCAATCGGCTGTCAATGTCATTTTGCCCGCCCCTTCAAACTCTATCCCCTGTCAAACTGAATAAAAGCTCACGGTTTTGTTTTTTTTTTTTTTTTTTTTTTTTTTTTTTCTGTCTACCCCAGAGAGCTTGCACTCTTCTGTCACTCTCCTGTGCCCACAATAAAGGCCTTTTTCCTCTTTTTTCTTTTTCTGCCCTTGATTCTCTGCTGTAACCAGGAAAAACCTATCAGATGTACTTCTCTTTTTTGTCAGTACCGCTGTGGAGATTCTGCACACTGCTCAATGAGCCCGGGCACTGATGTCCATGGTCCTGTCTCAGATCAGAGGCCTCTTTTGACATCTACTCACTTCCTCGAATCTTACTTGCTCAGATTTGAGAGCTAAAAGCAAAACTCAGCCCCCTGCTGCTTTCCCCATTGAAACTGGCTGTCAGCTGTTAAAAATGGATCCAAGGAGGGTTTTGGTCCGACCTAAATAAAAGACTTATCCAACTGTTGCTTATGAGCCCCACGCCTGCAGGGAAGTGCCATGATTTCTAATTACTGAACAATGAGCCCTTTATCAGACTTAATAAAGAGTCATTTCAAGTTATGTGGTTGGGCCCCCAGGGGCTGGGAATCAGGAGGCTCTGTTGATTGTTTTTTATTTTGTTAGAGAGCAGATGGATAAAGCTGCTGCTAACAGATAATTCTCAGGGAATAGATCCACTCACCCTGTGTGTGATCATGATGAGTTCCAAGATGGAGCTATGTTATTACCCAGCTAGTTGTCTCTCTCCTTTTGATCTGTCCACTACCACCCTCCAGAAGAGAAGGGCTCAGGCTCCATCCATCACTAGCCATGTGGTTGGGCAGGCCATTTCCCCCTCAAGGACCTTGTTTATGAAAGAAGCATAATAGCAACTGCAGACACATCCTAGGGCTACTGCATGACTATGATAGGTAATACAAGTCAAAGGGCTTCCTTAGCCATGGTGAGGGCTCAAGGTTTATTGCAAGAGAGTGCTTACTGAGCATGGGTGCTTACTGAGCAGGTGGAGAAGCAGAGGCAGTACAGACCCCACTCCAGTCCTTGCCTTTGCCGCTGGTCTTGATCCCACCTTACCTACCTTCTTGGGGGCTCTAGTCAAGCTTCTTCAAGCCTCAGAGAATGTGATGGAATAGCTCATTCTCAGGCTGGATAACAAGAGACCTAAAGGGTTCACGCCAAGATTCTGTGAGTGTCTAGGGCATAACCAAGTCCTGGCAAATGGCTAGCACAATGATCGCCTGTTTTACTTTGGGCTCCACAGAAGCAGACCCTGAGACAAAGATGAGAGTTGGAGTAGTTTGTTTGGAAGACCCCAGAAGTCCAGTGGGACTGGGCAGTGAGCTAGAGAAGAGACGGCAGCTTGGGCTTGATGAAGAGCAAGTCAGTCATCTGAGCCTGACCCCTGGGAAGCCCCCAGCACCATGCAGAGCACGCCTCAGCCAATTCTGCCTGTGACATCAAACATAACCACCTTGTCACAGTGTCATAGGTTAACAGTCATCACATTCTACTGGAACTGATCAGGATAGCACTGCTGGCCCTCGCATGCCCTTTAGGGTCAACACCCTAGAGTCCAAGCAGGCATGTAAGCATCCTGGACAGATCCAATCTGTGTAGGACTGGCCTTGGCACAGGGAGTTCCAATGACAAAGACCAGAACTCTAGATAGGGGTTTGTAGATCTCACCCTCACGGGAAATGAAGTCACCACCTTGGAGAGCATCCTCCTAGCTGTGACATGCTCCTGCTATGCTCCCCATCATGACCTCCAGCCCCTGCAACATTCTGCTTTCACGTTCCTCACTCCTAAGCATAGTTTCTCTTCCTCCTCAGAACACTCTCACCTCCCACCTCCCAACCTCCTTTCCCTCCTCCAGACCTGGACCTGGCTTTGGTAACAAGTTGCCAGAGGAGAAGTGGTAGACAGACCATAGCCAGGGAAACCTGTGCCACTGCCATGGCTCTATCTGATGGTCTGAGCCATAGGGATAGCCTGGAAAATGAAATCTATGATGTTTCTGATGATATTCAAGGGCTCAGAACTCACTCAGTCCCAAGATTTGCATTTCTTATTTCTCAGGATCCTAGGAAGTCATTAGGAGAAGGGGGCCAGCATGCCAGGGTGGTCAGTGTGGCACCACAAGAGAGAGCCATGCATAGGAGTCCTAGCAATATAAGCAGCAAGGTCAGATTCAGCTGCAGGCCTGAGGAGGTGTGAAGGAAAACTCTGATGAGTATAGGACCACAAGGTGAGAAGAGAAATCATGGAGCCAAAGAGCACAGAGAGGGCAGAAGTGAAGCAAACCAAAGAACCAGGTGTCACACTGAGCCGAGGGGAGTAAGGCAGGCACCAGTAGAGCTGACACACTTGGTTTTGGCAATGGAAAATGCCAAGAGATATTGTCATATTAGTGTGATAAGCTTCACATTGCTTTCATAAAAGTTAAAATAGCTACACCATATCCCACATTGGTGTGTGTAGAACAGATCATCCTCATTTGTATTTAAAGACACAAAGACACTGCTGGTGAGGACAGAGCAGTTCATTTAACCAATCCTACTGACAGGCCCTTACATTATTTCTAAACTTTTGTTTTATTAAAAAAGGAGCCTTATCCCTATATCATTTTGTATATGTGCAGATACATCATAGAATAAATGTCCAGCAATTTACCTCCATATCTTGAGACTTTGCAGGTAAGTTAGTAGTTGAGTATTTGACCCTCTTTCCACTTTTTCTCTTTTTTGAGGTCATACCTGAAGACAGTCACCTACAGTATCCCTAAGGGACTGGCTCCAGGAAGTCTCTCTCTCATGGCTACCAAAGTCTGCAGATTCTCAAATCCCTTGAATAGACAGCATAATCATTGCATATAATCTGTGGACACCCTTCCATATATTTTGAACAATCTCTAGATTACTTCTCATATCTAAAACAATGCATTATGTAGGGAATAATGTCAAGAAAATAAAGTCTTGAGGTGTTGAGTACAGATTTCAGTCCACAATTGGCTCCATCTGTGGTCGTGCAGGGAAGGGGCACCTAGGGCATCACGGCAGTAGGCTGGAGCATGTAATATGCCATGACCCACACAGCTTTCAAACTTTTTGGGGTGAGGACCATGAAGAGACGCCAGAAGGTGATGAAATAAAGACCAGATACAGAAAGCTGGGATCGGGTGGAGCCCTCTCTCCTGATGGGAGGAAAGGACCTGCTCATCCAATACAGTGTATTTATTTTATTTACACATTTAGCAATTTAATGTCATGTGACACCCCATGGTCTAGCAATCTGCCTTCCTGGCAACCCAAGGACATGGTGTTTTCTGGACTGGAGCATCTTGTTTACATGGCTCGCCTCAGGTGCTCTTTGTTTTGGACCACCCTTGCTCTAGCCTGGCACACTCCCCACAGTAATGAAGAATGAATCTTCCTCAAAAGAGGTCTGGCCTTTGGAAAGTCACCTCCAAACCCTTGGGATTCCTTGCCTAACAAGTATCTGTGTACCCAGGGATGTTGGACCACGCCAGATGGTCTAACAGCGTGATCAGTGGTGGGAACTTTGGGTCACCTGGAATCAACTGAGCCTCTGAAGGTGCTGGAGAAGAGCCCAGCCACATGGGGAGTCCATCAGGTTGACATAATCAGCCCGAACAAAGATGTGGAACACTGAGACTTTGCTGAGCCACCCTGGTTATCTGTATTCCATGCCACTGTCAATACGAAGCTAGCCTCCAGGGGCAGGGTGACTGGAAGCTCTACTCCATCAGTCACCAAACACACTGCTAGCCTCAGATGCTGAGTGTGAGTCCAGGGACCCTTGGGGTCTGTCCACTAAGGTCTGGTTGGGGCTTGGAGGTCCCCCATTTCCTGTACCCGGCTGCCCCATCCTCAGTTTTGCTCTTGGCACTGCAAATCCTGTGCTAACTACATACTTCAGATCGTACCCTGGTTAGCAGAGACAGAAAGATACTAGTTATAGATAGATTGTGCTCATGTGACTGGGAGGACAGAGAAATAGATGTGGGGTTTTACTTGCAAGCTGGGCATGAAGTAATTGGGTACAGACTACACCAGGACACAGAAGCTCACTTCTTTTCTTTTTATCTTTTCTTCTCTCTTCCCCAAACTTTTTATGATATTGGGAATTAAACCCAGGGCCTTCCCACTGAGCTACATCCTCAACCCTTTATTACTTTTTTAAAATTTTGAGACATTGTCTCATTAATTCATCAGTTGCTCATGCTGACCTTGAACTTGCAATACCCTTAGCTAAGCCTCGCAGAGTGCTGGGATAACTAGTGAAAAGTTCACTTTTCATGAGCCCACTGTGGTGGGTTAAAAACTGGTCACCACTTAAACACCAGCTGAACTAAATCAGTGTGGTGCTGAGTGTAGATGGCTCACCTGAGGACTGTTGCCAGCATAAAAAGGAGACCTGGAGAGGAAGAGTAGCATTGTGGGTCCCCCTACGTGGGTATTGTTTGGAGCTGTTGGTGCTGTTGATTCTCCTGGAGGAGCTTGTCACGCTGGCTTTCCTGATATGAACTCGGCTGTTACCATCAAAGTAGCTCAGGACCTTGCCACTGAGAACAGGTGCGTTGTGGATCCCTAGCATTCCTGGGTAGAAGGTGGGACTTACAGACACATTCCCAAAAGCCAAGGAATAGAAAGTAACTGGACCAGGGATATAGCTCAGCAGCATGGCA